TGTTTAACTCACACTTTCTGCCTCATACGGCTGAGTTTAACTCATATTTTCTCTGACAGTTGTGTGTTTAATTCATATTCTCTTTCTCAGACAGCAGTGTTTAACTCATATGCTCTGACTCAAACAACTGTTTGTTTAACGCATACTTTCTTTCCCAAGCAGCCAGGTGACGTTTGTGGGTGGGCTTAGCTAAATGAGCACCTGAATGGGATAAAAGCTCTAAGTAAAACATAATTACAGGTTAACAGATAAATAAACATTAGAGTTGCTTGATACATAAATAGCCCATTAACAACTGTTGAAACGTATTTTTCAACCAGTTTAAAAGGAGTCTCCGTAGACAGCAGAAGTAATTAGGTTAAAACGAAAAGATAGTAGTCATGTTGTTTACATCAGTGTGTAGAACACATGGTGTGCTGGGTTTCCTGCAGAGCCATTGCTAAAACACATACAGTCAATTCTCTATTTAACGCCGGCAGTGAGAACTTCTGGAAAAATCTGTGGGGGTTTTTCTACAGGAGTCCGGTTTTAACTTCTAAAAAAACAAAACGGTAATATATCAATGTTAGCCCTGTGTCAGATATATGGACCTTCACATATTCTAGACCATATTTGTTGAGAAATGAATAGGCAGGCATATTGACTGGTTTCGCGTCACTTGGTGGTGAAGTATGACAAGCTAGACGTTATCCAGACCCTTTGGGAGCGAGTGAACAGATTTAAAGAAGATGTACTAGCTGGGAGTGACCAGTGGATCTGGTCGACACTCAGCAGCACTGGGGGGAGGGTCACAGCAGATAAATGGTGACACTGTTACTGGTACCAGTGGAATTGGAACTCTGTTAGCTGCTTAAAATTGGGATGGGGCGCTTATGAGAATGTCCTGAATGCTGTAAGGTCATTTCTTAACTAATATTCTAAAACCCTATCATATGAGGTAAATTCAAATACTGACAACTCTACAATAGTTGTTGAAGAAAGTCCGTATCAGCATAGGGTAGAGAAATATACAGCACATTAAAATGGGTACTATCTAATGTTCTGTGTGATGCAGAAATCTAGACAATGAACAGGCAATTAGAGAATCAAATTGAGTCTTTGGATCTGTGGATATACAGAATAAAGGGAAGTACTTGGTGGAAACACCGTTTCTGGAGAGACTGAAAAAAAAGTGGGGATGCTGAAATAAATAAAATACGTAAAGTATTTCGGTCACGTTAAAAGACAACGCGGTTGTAGAATTCATGCTGGGTGGAAAATTCAACGGGCCGACAGCAGTGCAAGTGGGAGGACAACATAAAGAGATGGACTAACAGTAGTCTGTATGTAATGTCAAGACGAGAGACAGAATATTGGAAACGCATCGCAGCCAACTTTCACTGTGAAGGCGGCACATGATTTATTGATTAGTTTTGCAGTATGTCGAGGTAAATCTAAGTGCTGGAAGTTCTACGTTTATTTAACAGGAGACAACTGAGAAACTAGGTCACACGTAGAAGGACGCCAACACATAGACAAAAATAGCTGATAAATGACTGTCTATTGATTGTACAGCTTGAACGAACTAGGGTGGCGGGCTGGTGGAAACGCTGGTTGTTGTCAGGCTTGTAACCTTCAGCAAGAACACTTGTTGGTCGTTTTGATGTAATATAACTGGTTTCCGATGTTTCTGTTGTCTGTATCGTGACTTTTTCAGTTTCGTCCACCCCTGCTTGCGCTCTTGCTCTGACCGTTTCCAGTACCTATCTGTTTTTTTGAACCATCTGAACAGTAATGAACAGTTAGTTATTGCACATTCTAGTCTCAAATGTAAAACTACCCTGGGAAAAGTAATAAACTCACTACCTCAACGAGCGTGTCAGAAAAGGCGACGATTTAAGGAATTTCTGAAATTTGATGTTTTGATCAAAATGCGTAAATGTCACAGCTTAGCTATAAATCACAACACAAATTGCTGTTAAAAATGCATTTAGCAATTGTTTTCTCGTTTTGAGTATAGAGTACTTTTCAGGGTTTCTCTATTTCCACAGTTCATGTTTCGCGTGTTCGACCTCTGGAGCTGTTACTGTGGTATCCGTTTAACATTGCTCACCGCGTTGCTCTCTCTGTTGCCAATCTTGTTACATGGCCAAACCATTCAGTCTGTTGTCTACCGATAAAATCCAGTACATGTTATGTACCGACTCTCCTCCTGATATCGTTCCTAAGTCGATATTTCCTTGTTACCCCTAGCATGATACGTATAAATTTATTTCTGTCGTGGCCCCCCCCCCCCCAATCTTTTTCCACCACCATGTGCCTTTTTCAACAAAACATCGACAGGAAATCGCGTAGGTGATACAATGTTGACTGGATTCTCCACCGAAATAACTATGCTAACTGTATAGCATACATGTCTTTCATATCACACATTAAATGTGAACTTCAGTAAGCCACTAACGGTGTCATATTTCATGCAGTTGGAAAATAATCCAGGGCAGTATTTTTTTCCATTTACAATTTAAATATTCAGGCCCCCATAAATTCGTAGCAGTCCCACCCCACCCCTCCCCCTGGCATTTTTGTTTTTGTTTAAGACTATCATGTGACACATACTGTAACTGTTAGACAGTGTGAGGTTTAGTTAGCGGAAGCGGAAAAGTGTGTTTAAATCCTCATTCCTAATTATTATTATTATTATTATTATTATTATTATTTTGGTGTGACATTGAGATGATACGTGATTGTAGTGATCTTGTGAGATATCGAAACAAGACAGTCTACGTACGCTTACCGATGCGGCACATGATGGTGGTGATGAAGGTAGTGAATTCCGGTCAGTAGGTCAATTAGTGAACAGTTTCGTGGGCGCCGTAGAGATTATGTAATAATGTGACTTCTGGTCCAGTTTGGCGGATAGTCGCCGTGACTGTTTTTAGTCGTGGTAAGCAAATAGCCGTTATATTTCCACCCATATTGTGAATTAAAGCATATACCCTAGTACCGTCGCACAGTACCGAATTGAGTGCATGGCACGGCGCTGAGCTGCGAATTTCATTGGGAGTGCACTTCAACTGTCCTCAACGTGATTTGTTTTGTGAACTGGAAATTCAGATAATGGTGAGTGGCCTGTTGCCACAGAACTGGTGATGCCTTATGCTTTAAACTGCGTGTGCAACTACTGATTTGTTGTGACTGCTGCTTTCATCGGTTATGGACTCCCTTTTTAAAAGCCCTGAACTGTTTGTTTTGGCACTTCTGACGGCTGCATTATGCATTTAATGTTTGTTTGTTTGTGCTATATAGGTTTTGCTGAAACTACAGTTTGTGCCAGTTACTGCACAGCGGAGTGACAGGAATTCAGTGCTTTTTGATGGCAGTGGAAAAGGGCAATTAGGAGTTAAGCCGTTTGCTCTGATCACAGAGAGAACGGATTACCCGCATCAGGAGAGGTCAGTCCACATTCTGTAGGCATGGCAAAGATGTCTGAAGGTCATGAATTCTTTCACGGACATGTCATTTAGTTCATGAGTGTACTTCCCCCAGAGATTCACGGGGATCGTAACATGAGCTGCGGAGTTTGTGCTTTGTCTGAGCCTTTGGTAGGAGGCTAGCCAGAGAGAGGCCGAGCCATCTGTGAATTATCCGGTGCAACAAAGTCGATCCTCTCGACTTCAACTTTAGAAAATGAAAGAACTGAAGTACATCATGATAACAGAATAGTTTGAAATAGAGAAAAGGGTTAAACAAAATATTACCTTGGACAGTGAACAAGCAACTAGAAAATCAAATTGACGGTAACGATCGTTGGACAAAAAAATCGAAATTGCGGCAGAGCAAGTATGTTAAGCCGACGTCGAGTGTGCTGCGGCGACAAGGTGAAAGTGCCGTCCCACAAGTCTTAGCGTGTAATGGCGACGGTGTAACACAGCATTATAGTGATAGTACAGCCAAAAAGACGTGACTAGTGGTCGGGCGCTGTACAAACCGTCAACTTGTGGTAGATTTCGTTAGCTTTCATTAATGTCTATTTTGAAAAATAATTTTTAGTAGCAGTGCTTTGTTTTCCTTGTGAGATAGTTTAAGAAAACGAATTCAAGTTGTTTTGACCACTAAATACTGTCTTGTCTAGTCCATTGTGTTGCGATGTTTTTATTGTGCTTGTGTACTGTAGGAGGAGCTGTGTTGGTTATGACGGCGATGAATGGTGCTGTGTTCATGGAGATCTGAATTATAGCAGACTGCGCCCGTTCATTGTAAAATTAGCTTAGCGTATACGTCACGTTAGGCAGGCAGTATTAAAGTGCATGTTTTGTTTACTAGTTTATCTACCTGTCCGTTAAGTATGCTTCGGTCGTAGTAACTATAACCTTAGTTTTAGACCCACTTTAGTAAGTTAAGTGTTTCTGTAGCATCAGGTCAGGGTCATGCTCGCCTAACTGTTGTTTGTGTTAGTACTGTTAGCCTTTCGGTGTTATTTAAATATTTACGAGAATACAGACAGTGAACTAGGTGAATCATAGAATAAACCACCCTATGATTGCAGGTGACAGATATATACACACATGTGTTATTATTATACATATATATACATCCATACATATATGGTGAGTGTGTATATATATATATATATATATATATATATATATATTTCTTCTTCTATATATATGCACACACAAGCATACTATGATACACATGTGTAGCCTCTGTGTGTGTGTATGTGTGTGTATATATTTATATAAATCATAGAAAATGTCACAGTCAAACTGAAGCAAGCAGTCATTTTAATTTAAATTTAGTAAATTGAAAATTCAGTGTGAGGTCATAAAAATTTGTTCATAGTTTATTGTGTATATTATGTCTTGTTATTGTGGTATTCAATTCTAGTTTGGTTTTATGTTGGCGGAACTAAATTCAAGGAGTTTAGAGTCAGCAAAGATTCAACAAACTGACACACATACATGCTTTCATGAATTAAAGAAGTGGACGCCAACGCACATTATCTTTGCTGGGACACTTTCATGAATCCCAATTTGAACATGCCGCCTGGGCCTGGGATTCCCATGCAAGCAGGACCACCAATGTCGTTGCCTGGAGGGCTAATGTCAGGAATACCTATGCCAGGCGGAACACCGATGTGTGGCCAGGACCCATTTTACTCTTCCCCCTTTTCCACTCCATTTTATAGGCGGCCGACACCTTACATGGGGCAGCCAGACTACAGGATTTATGAACTCAACAAACGACTGCAGCACAGAACTGAGGTTAGTACATACCAGCATGTTTTGTTTTTTAGATGAAATATACACTTAATTTTACACTTATTTATACTGCAATTTCTAGTTCTGCTCTTCTCCTTAGTGAACACTGGCTGTAGACTCTGACAGCCAGTTCTAGTTGTTCTTCCACTTCTGGACTTTGCTTTTGTTCTAGAACTTCTTTTGCCTGCACATCCATTTGACAGATTTGGCTTATTTATACACAGACTGTTAGTTCCGCACCTCTCAGGTATATGCACTGTGACTTCAAAGGAAACATCCCTATTAGTTACCTTCTACGACATGCTTGATGGGGGAAAAAGGGTGAGGGAACAATTGGTTTGTTCTGTTTTCCCCAAAATGAAGTCCCAGAACCCACACAGAAAACAATTTCTAGCATTTTCTGAGAATTGGCAGGGCAGAAAAAGTGCAGAGGAAGGGAATTGGTTATACCACCTAATATGTATTATGCCTATAATTTGTGAAAGCCAGTACAAATAACGAAAGTCACCACATCTCGTCAGCTGAGTGATTTAGCAGAGAGTTTCCTGGGAACACTCCTATATTCTAGGGGTATCATGTATTCCTTATTATGACCGTTTCCAAGCAGATCCACCAGCGGGGACAGCCACTACCAACGGGTGTAATAATACAGAAACATCAATGATTAGATACTCACGAAGCGTCGCGCCTAAGGCGCTTACCCCTGCAATACTTCTTCCTCATACGCAGGCGCCTACGACGCCTGAGACCTACCGTTCATAGAAAACAGTTACACAAACCTGCAGCAGCCACTTTTCGTCCAGGTGTATACACAGCTGAGCAAGCCTTGTCGTAACACCCCCACACCTCCTAGTACAGCCCGTGGAAACTGGCACGACATGAATGGGAGCCAGCTGAAATGGGGGTGACTCTCGTGATTAGTACCTGAAAGCTTTGCACTTCACATCCCGGTGACAGTATGCTGTGTAACTACCATTGAAGGGCATTCAAGATTTATTAAAGTTTTACAAACTATTAGGTACTATTTGCCTTTCTGAAGTTTATGCTATAAATTGCTATTAAATAATTCTACATCAGACACCTCAGCATGCATTATTTGGTTACTCCTGTCAGGATATGCTTTTGCTAGTTCATTTTACCGGAGAGGGCCATCACATTCAACCTAATTTCCACATTTTGATTTTCAGATTGTTAGTTTAATGCTGTTTATACCTGAAAATGTGCATAAAGTATTTCAGTACAACACAGAATGATTATTTTCTAGCTCAAATATGATTTCTGTTTGGCTGCTATATATAGTCTCTGCAGGAGGGAATAAACATTTGGGGGAAAATCTTGCATGAAATAGGTGTATGAACAAGATAATAATGTGTGAGAAACATTGTCAGGTGATGTTGGTAGCTAGAATATATGAAAGCAATGATCAGAGTAGATTAGAAGTTATGACTTTATGTTGCGGCCATAACCGTAGAGCAGTGATTTCCAAACGGCACCGCAAATTATTCGAAGATACGCATTTTTGTTTTCAATCTCTTACATATGAAAAGTCATACTTTTTCTTAAGTTAGGGCGCCGCGGAAACATTTTTTATTGAAAAAAGGCGCTGCGACTAAAAAAAGTTTTGGAAACACTGCCGAAGAGTGCTGATTAGTTTATAAAAAATGTAAATAAAAAAAAAAAAACTAAGATGAAAACCCATGCCTCTAGTGGCTTTACTTAATCTGCCAAATGTTTAACAACTTTCCTGTTATAAATGGCAGTGTTGCTGTCTGATATGTATTGCTAAAGTTTTTTTATATTGTTAGTATTTCATTACTTGTCAGTTTAGAATGTATATTGCACCATCGGAAGTGGAATTGTTTTTCTCAGCTTTCTTATATTGTTAGTATTTCATTGCCTGTCAGTTTAGAATGTATATTGCACCATCGGAATTGGAATTGTTTTTCTCAGCTTTCTTATATTGTTAGTATTTCATTGCCTGTCAGTTTAGAAAATATAATGCACTATTGGAATTGGAACTCCTGTGGGTATTCAGGCCTCCTGAATATGAGGACAGAGTGCTTATCGGAATGTTCAGAGTGCTGTGATGTCAGTGCTTAGCTCTTTGCTCAAACCTTAGAATATCAATCCATTTTAAGGTCTAGCATAGTTGTTAGTGTTCTTATTTACCAAGGTATTGATTCATTTTCAATCCCTGACAGTGGCAGAAAGTGGGAGGGGTTCTGAATAGACTTGACATCTCAGGAAATGTTGATTACCTCAGCTTTCTATCTTGTGACCAGAAAGCCACCTGCCTTATCACATTCATACATTAAGGGTTTTGATGCAGCAACATTGAGATGATCCAGCTGTCTTTATTTGTAGTTTAATTTGTACTAGCAGCAAGCATTTCTGTTATAGAAGTGGCTTATGTACTAGGACAAGGAACATTTTAGCCTATTTTTCATTTAGTTGGACACTAGTTGGCAGGCATTTGAATGGGTTCATCATTTGGTAAGACACATCATTTACTGTTAGCTTGGGATTGGATGATGACAGCCTTTTATGATAGTTCTTTGTCTCTGAGTTCTGCATATTTATTCTAGATCTCTGATGGCCCTTATTTTAGATGTATGTTGAGGAGGTACCACATGATAGGGTTCTGTGAAACCAGCAGAATTGTTTTTGCTAAAGTCTTCTTCTTCTATGTTCAAGCTGTAAGCTTTAGCAGAAAGTACTGGTTGTGCATCCATTTAGACTTTTGCTTTGTGCCAGGGCCTGAGTTTTGTGTGTACATCCATATTACTGGCTTGTGTGCTGGTTGTTTCTTGCCACTCGGGCAGATGCACTCCGACTTTGAAGGAAGTCTCCACAATGGGGCCATGTAACCCACACAGGGAGATGCTGAAGTGTAGGTTAAGAGAATTACTTTAAGTGTGACATAACAGCCTGAGCGTTAAATTTTCCACATATTAAAATCACCACACACCCATGGGACTTTGATGCTCCATGGGGGGAGGTTAGCATGTCAAATGAGCGACTTTCCCTTGTGGGCTCCTGGGCCCTATTGTGGGGAAAACAAGAGTAGACCCACTGCCTTCCCAATAAGCATGTTTTAGGAGTCGACTAACTGGCGGCTTCCATCAAAGTTGGAGTGCTTCTGTCAGAGCGGCAAGGAACAACCAGCAGCACACAAATAAGCCATTAAAATAGCTGTTCAGACCCTGGCACAGAGCCAAAGTTCAAACAGATGAACACCCAAGACTTTCTGCCGGAGCTTACAGCCGGTTAAAAAAAAAAAAGAAGATGTGAGCAACTAGTTAAGGTCTTGCTGAAATTGGTTGTGGTGATTTTGCATCCATGATTGTGACAGAATGTAAGACACAACATAACATGCTAACCATCATTTTTAAGGTGAACACAGAAGAAGAAGAAGAAATCACCACTCCCATTGCCATGGGCTTCTCTCCTATCCCTAATGTGTGTGCTTGTTCCAGTTAATTTAGTTGATGTCATCTCCAGGATGTCACAAACAAATCCTAGCTTTTATTGCTATATAATTTCAGGATAGTGACAATCTCTGGTGGGACTCGTTCACCACCGAGTTCTTCGAGGATGATGCACAGCTCACTCTGACATTCTGTTTAGAAGATGGTCCTAAGCGATATAGTAAGTTTTTTTTTTTCCCATTTGCACAATCTGCTAAAAATACAAACACTCTTGAGTCAAAATCAGCAGGTATGGAATATACTATTCACTTGAGTTGAGTTAACCATGGAGACTTTTCTCTTGATCCTATGCCATAGTATCTACGGGCCTGCCTTGTAGAGCTCTCCTTCCTGTCTCCAAACTCAGAAACCACAATTTAATAATACTGGGACTTCATATTTGTGGAGAGGCTCTTTAAGATGTAACCACGTCATAAACTGGCTACAACAGTCCTGTGCTGGCTGCCACAGTCAGGGACTGACTGCAGTAGTCATAGGCTGGCTGCCACAGTCATGGGCTGGCTGCCACAATCAGGGACTGGCTGCAGCAGTCATGGGCTGTCTGCCACAATCAGGGACTGACTGCAGCAGTCATGGGCTGGCTGCCACAGTCATGGGCTGGCTGCAGCAGTCATGGGCTGGCTGCCACAGTCAGGGACTGGCTGCCACAGTCAGGGACTGGCTGCCACAGTCAGGGACTGGCTGCCACAGTCAGGGACTGGCTGCCGCAGTCAGGGACTGGCTGCAGCAGTCATGGACTGGCTGCTACAATCAGGGACTGACTGTGTCAGTCATGGGCTGGGTGCAGCAGTCATGGGCTGGGTGCAGCAGTCATGGGCTGGGTGCAGCAGTCCTGGGCTGGCTGCCTTAATCAGGGACTGGCTGCAGCAGTCATGGGCTGGGTGCAGCAGTCCTGGGCTGGCTGCCTTAATCAGGGACTGGCTGCAGCAGTCATGGGCTGGGTGCAGCAGCCATGGGCTGGGTGCAGCAGTCATGAGCTGGGTGCAGCAGTCATGGGCTGGGTGCAGCAGTCTTGGACTGGCTGCAGCAGTCTTGCAAGTAGATGGTTGCCAGTAAAGCACTTGAAATATTAATTGAATTGAATGTGAATTTTTAGTCAAAGTGAGAAAAGCAATACAAAGATAAATTAACATGTAAGGACAGAACACTTAAGATAGACCTGTAAGCTAACTTCACAGATTAATGTTTGCAAAGATCCCTAGGAAAAGGATTCTTTGCTTTGTTTAACTAACAATTTATAATATTTGATTTGACTTGTCAAAGCTATAAGCCATTTATAAGTCATTTTCTGTATCATGTTTCAGTTATTTATACAAAAACTGAGTACTTGTATTACTTTTAAGGGTACTCACAAGCTTTTATTAGTCATGGCGTAAAATTGTAGATTAATTTTGTAAAGATAATTATTTAATCTTGTGTGTCAATTAGCTTACATATATTAATTTTTTTTCATTCTAATTTATTTATTTTACCCATGCTTTAAATAGCAAGATTATTTGATCATGGTTTTTAAAACTTTTTTTTTCCAGCTATTGGAAGAACGTTGATACCAAGATATTTTCGCAGCATCTTCGAAGGTGGAGTTACAGACTTGCACTACATACTGAAATACCCAAAGGAGTCGTTTCACAACACCACTATCACCTTGGATTGTGATCATGCACTTATGGTTACACAGCATGGCAAGCCCATGTTCACAAATGTATGTTTGTTGTTTAAGATCAGATTGTCTACTGTTCTCAGACAGGTAGAATAGAACAAAAGTAAGACAAGAGAATTTAGATGTCACAGTCTATGATTGCCTGCAAAAGGCTAATGAAATGTGAACATTAGACACAAACTGTAAGAAAGAGGCAAAGTACTCTGGATGTTACATATAATGAGAAGAGGAATTGGAGAATATCATGATTATTAAAAGATTAACAGCACAAGAGACTGAAGCTTACTGAGAAATGTAGCTTACTAAGAAATGTTCTTTTTCATCTTCAGGATCACCTGCTATAAACTGCCTCAGAAAGTTCTGGTTGTTTGTCCACCTCTTTAGTCTTGTTCCAGAACCTTCGTGTTGGATGCACATCGGTTAAACAGATCTGACTTAATTGTATGCAGATTGTTGGTTCCTTGCCTCTCAGACAGATGCACTCCGACTTCAAAAGAAGCTCCCCCAATTAGTCGACTCTTACACGACATGCAGTGGGTCTGTTCTTGTTTTCTCCAAAATGAGGTCTCGGAACCCACTTGGAGAGCTTAGAAATTATGCAGAATATTAGTTCCAAACTGTTGCACTATGGACTGGGTTATGCAGAAAGAATTAAGAGTTATGTAACGGGACAGATATGATGTCATTTATATCCGAAAATAAAACTGTCTATTTATTTTTGGCGCCAAAGGATGCTTAGGGGCTTATTTTCAAGACACATTTAATTGTCTACATAAAAAAAAAAAAAACACCTAACATTTGTTCAAGTTTGAAAAAAAAAAAGTCTGCATCTATTTAAAAAAAAATCTGCATTTATATAAAGTAGTATTCTTCAACCTATGGGCTGCCAGAAATGTCTGCCTAATCAGGTAATGGTAGGTAGTTTGTTGTCTGTAGGATTAACACCTCTAATATGAGAATAAAAGATTAGGCATTGGCTGAACATGATAATTTTCTGACATTGGATTTAACAAATACGCTGCATTTGTTTTTGTTTCTTTATTTGTTTAGCTGTCTAGTGGGCCCCCAAACAATTTCCCCCTGTGTCGGTGAGCCACCAAACTATTTCCCCTTGTGTTGGTGGGCCATCAAACAATTTCCCCCTGTGTTGGTGGGCCACCAAACAATTTTCCCCTGTGTTGGTGGGCCACCAATCAATTTCCCCTTGTGTTGGTGGGCCGCCAAACAAATTTCCACTGTTTTGGTGGGTCTTAATTAGGGCATACATCTCAGGTAGGGCTTATATTGCAGGCATCCTGAGAAATCATGCTAGGGTCTTTTTTCAGGTTAGGTATTTTTAAAAGGGAAATATATATGTACACACCCGCTTCATCGTGCCCATACATAAGTACTTACACACAGACAGAGAGACAGACAGTTTAACTTATTTTAATCAGCCTATATGAAATATTGTATTAGTCAGGAATTAGGAGTTTAATCCATTTTCATCTGTCCTCACATGCTCAATATATTTGTGTGTCAGCAGGTAATCACGGAAGGTAGGTTGATATTAGAGTTCACCTTTGATGACCTCATGAGGATCAGATCCTGGCACTTTGCAATCAGGCAGCACCGAGAACTTATTCCACGAAGCATTGTTGGCATGCAGGTGAGCTCAGAAACTTTCTTGCACTGCTATCTGAGATATTTTGTCTGTGCACCAGATATTTAGTTTTTACTTTTATACATGCATGTCTTTGAGACATATAAAATATCAATTGTCAGTCATAACAAATTCATATGTGCATATATTTTGTCTTATAACATTCTTCATTCAGACTTTCTTATAATTATGCCAATCAGCAGAGAGTCAGAATAACATAATTTGCATTTGGCTTTTAAAATAGTGTATTGCAAACATATGTAGCTGTTTTGCTAAGAATATTATAGAACTGCAGGTTCTGTATAATGTAGTCTGGAATATTAAGTAGAGCTTCTTGTGCAAAACTGAACAGAACTCTGTACATAGACGGCCTGGTAAACTGGTAGTAGAAGTAAAAGATCTAAGCTGTATACACATTTTAACGTAATTTTGAGTAGAGGCAGTGGGGTTGGGGTATAAACAGGTGTTGAAATGGGGGTGAGGAAGGTGGATTGAGGAAACAAGGGCATTTAAGAGAACTCTACAAAAATTAATAATGATAAAGGCTAGAGGTACTGAACTAGACTATATGTTATTAAAAAAAAAATTTTACAAGGTAAGATGGAAGCATTGACCTTCAGCCCCATGTAACATATAATGTCTCAGCAGGATGATGATGTTTATAGTTTTATCGCAGGCACTTCCAGTTAGCAAAGATCTGTAGACCTGTCTCATTTTCAGAAGTCTCCCATAGACTCCCATACTTTTTAGTAGTCCTACCAAAGAACTTATTTTTTAAAATAAAATTTAGAATTGCAAAATGGGTTGCATTTTAAAGTTCATGGTGTTTGTGTGTCAGGTTAATTAACTTGTTTCCTGCAAGCAGTGTCCAAACCAACATTTATTAGTGGAATGATTGTGTCCACTAAATGTTCTGTAAACTTTAGCACTATTATTTTGTGGTTGCATACAGCACAGTACATATTCACCTGTGTTCATTCATTTGAGCTGGTCAGTTAGGTTATCTCTTTACAGAGATGGTTTCGAGGCATAAATGATTGTTGTCATGTATTTTAATTAATTAGGATTGTATGGATTTGCTGATTTAGTCTTTAGAGATAGATTTGATTACTTAGTTTTGTTCGTATTCAGTTTTCTGAGTCTGTGAGGCTCTTTGCTGCAAACTTAATATTTCCATTCTCTTTGTCCATTCAGAGTAATCTCGATCCAGTTTGCAATGCCCAGCACCTTCAGGTCTGATTCTGTTTTGTCCATCCATCATTGTCCCCTTGATATTATTCTGTTCATCAAGCTCTTCTCGATCACCCACTCTTTTTGTAATTTGTGAAAAATAACATACCTTTTTATTTGACATCTCCTAGACTCCATTTGTTCAACAAATCCTATATTTGTAAATTGTTTAATTTTTTTGTCACAAGTGACAGCTTTTTTTTCCTTCTTTTTTTTTCAATCATCGCAGTTGTTATATTACATTGCAAAAACTTTATGTTGCGATTAATTTTAAGTGAATTTCAGTGTTGCTTAAAAGTTATACTCGAATGGATCAGCAGTTTAAAATGAGTTCTTGGGTGGAAAATAAAATTAAAACAGCTACAGATTATAAACAGCCTATTTATACCATTACTGTGCTACCATTGCAAAACTTAGGCATTATCAAAGACTGGATCATGTAAAATTAACACTTTTGTGATGAGATGCATGGGGGAAGTTGCAGATCAACCATCTGAGACTAAATGAGAAACGATACCATCGAACAGATTGGGGGAACGATACCTGGCACATAAATGAACTGAGATACAGAATATCAAGTATTTTATTAAACTTTTTATAATACAGCTACAACATCTGCTGTGACAGGCACTACACCTAAAAGATCTGATGTGAGGGCAAGAGGACAACTAAAAAGAAGATAGAAGTCATACATCCGCCTGCATTGACAGTAGTGAGGGCAAGAGGACACCCAAAGAGAAGATAGAAGTCATACATCCGCCTGCATTGACAGTAATGAGGGCAAGAGGGCACCCAAAGAGAAGATAGAAGTCATACATCCACCTGCATTGACAATAATGAGGGCAAGAGGGCACCTAAAGAAAAGATAGAAGTCATACATCCGCCTGCATTGACAGTAATGAGGGCCAGAAGTCATACATCCGCCTGCATTGACAGTAATGAGGGCAAGAGGGCACCCAAAGAGAAGATAGAAGTCATACATCCGCCTGCATTGACAGTAAAGAGGGCACCCAAAGAGAAGATAGAAGTCATACATCCGCCTGCATTGACAGTAAAGAGGGCACCCAAAGAGAAGATAGAAGTCATACATCCGCCTGCATTGACAGTAATGAGGGCTACTCATCAAGCATCGGAACTGTTTCTTTCCATGATGCTTAGCAGCACAAGTGGAAGTTAAGGATTATCCTTAACTAATTTATAAAACATTTTGTGATAGAAAATGCATTGTAGTATATTCAATAGAATTTTAAAAGCTACTTGCCATTTACTTATGTTTTGCTCATAAAAATGTTCCAGGACTTGTGTGTTGCGTACCAATCTTGGCTCACAGTATGTGGTAATGCTAACAGATGCTAAATCAGTACTTGAAGCATTCCAGTCTAGGAAACTACCAGAATTGCAAACACTGCTGAAACAACTCAACCTTCAGCGAAGAGTCGTAATGCAGTGGATACCGTCTCATTGTGGTGTGCCTGGAAATGAGAAAGCTGATCAACTGGCAGAGGAAGGTGTGACAAAAGAGCAGCCGGATGTACCAGTCACATACCACCAAAAGAAAAGAATCATTAAATCGATCAGGAAACCATCAGCCCCAGCACAAGACGACTATTTCATTATGGACAGACCAGAACAAGTCATTATCCTCTGCCTCAGAACAGGGCACAACCGATTACGTAACCACATGTACACAAAATTCAAGATAGATGTATCAGCCATGTGCACCTGTGGAAATGTGCCCCAGACAGCAGAGCATGTACTCCAGGACTGCACCGAATTTGACACATTAAGGCAAACCTTTTGGCCAGAAAGAACAACAGTGGAACATAAACTCTATGGACCACTGAATGAACTAACAACGACAGTGAAATTTATGCAAGAGACACAAAACTGCTGATATAGACAACTTATTTCAGGCGAACGAAAGAAGAAGAAGAAGAAGTGTTGCGTGCACATTCATTTAACAGATCTGACTTAATTGTATGCACATTGTTAGTTCCTTGCCTCTCAGGCAGATGGACTCCAACTTCGAAAAAAAGCTCCCAGTTAGTTGACTTTTATGACATGCTTGTTAAGGAGGCAGTGGGTCTATTTTTGTTTTCCCCACAATGGGACCCCAGAACCCACACAAGAATAACAGAATTATAATTGTTGGTAGCCTGGAAATATCTATAAGGTCAATGCAGCTTTTATTGCCGTGAGGATAGATAGCACTAGCCCTGTGTGTTTAGACCAGTTGGGATTCCGTGGGTCATATGGTCATATTGTTGTGGAGAATTGTGCTCAAATAGTATTTCTGGCAACATGAAAGCTGAATTACATAAGTAGTATATATTTTAAGAGCTTGTCAGTGACATTTCAGAACTAACAAGAAAATGATCTCTCTGTAATATATACATTTAACAACAACAAATTATTTTATTTGGCAGCTTCACATCAGTGACATTTCAGAACTAACAAGAAAATGATCTCTCTGTAATATATACATTTAACAACAACAAATTATTTTCTTTGGTAGCTTCACATGATATTTCCATCTCCAGCTGCTAGTATTTTTCTTTTTTCTAGAGTGCTGCATAATTTGTGTAGTATTTCTGTTTGTGTGTTTATTCATTTCAATAGCTACTGCTGGGATGCCATTTGAACCATCAGCTCTCCGTCCTTCATGGTTGGATAGCTTTTCTAATGTCTGTTTAGATGGGTTCTCATGGTTGAGATCTAGCTTTATGTTTACAAAGACAATTTCTTTTATCTTCCAACAGAGGAATAGGTGCTCGACCAACTCCATTTGTTCACAATTGGTTGAATTTTGTGGTTTGCATTTTCTTCCTGTTGAGGTAGCCAGCTTCATATCTACCCTCCATAGTTTACTCTTGAGACTTGCCTAGCCATCTAGTTTTGATTCTTTGGCTCCATGGTAACACACCAGCACTGCAAATTTTCTTTCCCCTTCATCTTGTCCTACTGCTTATGCCGTACTGCATCGTAGAGGGGAGTTTTTTCCCTGTCCTTTGCTAGTTGCATAGCTTGTGTTAATTCGATTTGGGTGTAATGTCTCTTTTATTGCCTCCGCCCATCTCTTTCTTGGTCGACCTCTCGTCTTGTAGCCTACTGTTCTCATGTTTTTCACTCTAGCTGCTGGCTTATTGTATTCAGTTCTGACCAGATAACCAAACCATTTGATTCTTTAAGGATCTGTATTGCAGATTATTATTGGGCATCTCTTGTATGTATACTATAGTAGTCAGTCCTGTCTCATCGTGATAGAGTATCCACATACACATGTGATTGCTGCATGATCTTGGGCTGTTAACTCCCTTTCTTCATCTGTTTACAGTCTGTAGTGTGGATTAGCTATAAAAAATAAAAAACATTCAACAGCATTTCACTCCGAGCCTCTTTCTGGCAGACAACCAAACCAAGAGAAGAGATGCTAAGGCTAGTAGCAGTGAGTTCATATGTTGCTATGTTTTGTTTAAATACGTGTGGTTTGATTAAAAAAATTTTCTTCTACAGCAAGATCCTGCAATGGTGGAGCAGCTCTCAAAAAACATAACAAGAATGGGACTGACTAACTACACTTTAAACTTTCTGAGGGTAAGTCATTAATCCCAAGGCCATGTTTTTGAAGAGATGACTAATTTTGTTGAATTAGGAATCAACATCATAGCACTCGGGACACTCCCATAAGCGTTCCGTCCCCCATCTTCAGCAGCAAATGAAGAATTTCAATTCCGATGGCACCAGTAACTGATTGTATATCAGTCTCACCTTTCCCTTGAGAATTCAGCATTGGCCCTATCCCATTGTAACTCCTCGCAAAGCCATTCTCCTCAGACCATAATGATCTATTTGCGCTTCTGCACTGTTCACTCGCTCCCAGAAAGCCCTCACAACATCTAACTTGTCATACATCAGTTCTCCACCAAGTGGTGCAGAACTGGCCAGTCTATCTGCCTGCTCATTTTCCGACACACTGGTATAACCAAGAGAGAATATCCAAAAGATGCTAACTACCCGGGACCTCTGAGGTGATGCTTGCCACTCGGCACGGAACAAACCTGTCTCCACCTTTCTCCATAAAAAAAGACTGATTATTACAGAATGTAATATACATTGTCAGGTGAATACTGTTTCGTCTTTATTTTTAGAGAAATCTTAAAACTTTAGTCAGAAGTAAATATTAAAATCATCACATAGCACAGTGGTTCTCAACCTTCCTAATGCCACAACCCTTTAATACAATCGCTTATATTGTGGCGACCCCCCAACCGTAAAATTATTTCAGTTACTATTTCATAACTTCAATAATTATGTGTTTTCTGATGGTATTAGGCGACCCTTGTGAAAGGATCGTTCCATCTCCAAAAGGGTCATGACCGACAGGTTGAGAACCACTGATTTTACAGGTACGTTGAAGGATGTCACTCATCACAGCCCATAGTTCTATCTTTCCTGCAAACTGTTGTGACCAAGATGTCTGCACTCTCCTGTGTCTATCATCATGCTAATCATATAATGTAAATTTGTGTGAGCCTTGAACATCACTGTGTTCCATAATCTTTAGCAAATGGGTCTACTCTTCTGATTGTTTGATTGAACTATATAAAGCATTTCCATATCTGAATGATACAACCCCAGTAACAGGCTTATAAGTTTAAACTTGCAGTCATCTTAAGATTTTACTAACCACAGTAGGCAAGACATGGTGTGAGAGATGCTGCCTCATGCTATAGAGCAATTTGTAGCTATGATATCAAATCAGTCAACACCCCGTCTACACAGGGCTTAGCATAAGTAGGTTGATGGCATGGGTTCCATTACAAGATGAAAGGCAGAAAAAAACTGTTTGGTGTACAGCTAAGTGTAAAAATTCATTTTTTTTTTTGGCCAAAATAAACTGAAGACATGATTATTAGAGTCTACAATATTTTTTTGTATTGTTATTTCTTCCTCCACAAAGTTTGTGCTGACAAAGAAATATTTCATTCAACTCTCCCTCAGTTGTGTGTGATACTAGAGCCAATGCAGGAACTTATGTCCAGACATAAAGCCTACGGCCTCAATCCTCGTGACTGTTTGAAAACTACACTGTTTCAAAAATGGCAGCGAATGGTGGCGCCGCCAGGTAAAGGCAAGCATCGTCCCAAGTACAAGTATTTGCTGTTCTCTTGCTCCCTCCTTTTGTTAAATACTTGTCATTTTTGTTTTTACATATTCAGATATCTTAGATAAATATTATTTTCAAACTATTTTTATTTCTGCGAATAAAATGTTCATTGTGAGAATGCTTGCAAATTAATATTTTTTTTTTTTTAATGATTAAAGCTGTGATAATGAGTCTTCTTCTACTTATTCACTTTGGTAACCATATCTGTGGGTTGAAGGAATGTCACCACACATCTGCAGCCACTACTCCATGTCATTAGCTCTCAGTATGGCAGCTTTCTGGCCAGTTTGTCATTTAATACTTAGTCTTCAATTGTTCCCTGGAAGAGGATTTTTGAGAAACTATAGCAAGTTATAATTTTAAAACTAGTGACAAAAGATTCTTTGTAGCATGCATAAGTGTATACTCCTTCCCAACATTTGTAATTTTTTGTATGCTCCATTCACAAAATATTGACACTTTTTTCGTTTTGTTATTTGTATGGAAAATCTGAGATCATTCATGTTACATCTTCATTAAGTGTCCACTTGTCGCATCTTCTTCTCTTTCTCCAGCTAGCGAAGTGTTGAGGGTAAGATGTGAGTATTGTCTCTGTCTGTGATATTTATAATTCCTTGTATAAGTTGGTCTTCATTTCTCTGAGTTGTTACTGACACTGTTATTTGATCTTTGTAGTCTTCTTCTTGCATTGTGCTCGTTATATTTCTACAACGTGACTCTGTAACATTTGGTACAAGGGCATTCTCTTCATATGGCCAAACACTCTCATATGTTGAGCTTTAAAGAATTACATGATTGGTTTCAGTTCTAGTTCTGTATAAGAAAATAGATGCAACCACGGATTTGTATTGGAACCATGGGAAAGCTAAATTTATTATTTGTCCAGCTCACGTTCAGCCTTGTGGTTCAAGTCTTATCTTGATTTCCTTTCTTTCATACACTGGACTTGAGATATTTAAAGGCATTCACTTCTTAAACTGTTTACTATCAGCATGATGTTGGTTGTTTCATGTTGCCTATAAATATTTACCAGTATCTTGCTTTTTTTCTGAACTCCTTTCCAACCCATAAGATCTTGGTGATTTCTCAAATCTTGTGGTGAGGCCTTGGAGTTCTGATTCTGTGCCTGCTATAAGATCAGTATCACCAGCAAATCGTAAGTTATACAACATCTGACCTCCAATCATATAGACGCTATGTATTCACACTTCACTTTTTAATATATTATTTATTATGCATGCACATACACTTTAGCTGCTAATTTGTTCTTTTATTCTAAACTTCATTTATTCAGTCCTATTTTACTGTTTCAGTTGTTCCTCCATATTTTTTCAGTACCTAGAAAGTTTATTAAAGGGTGTTGGAATTCAGCCCTCATAAATTTGTTAATAATACGTACACTATAGGAATGTCTCACCTTGATAATGTGCATAATCAACCACCTAATAATGCATTGTGCAAATAATTTTTGAATATTAGACATGATTAGTTTTTGAGTTAACTAACAAGTTCAAGGTATGTTTGCAGACCTTGATTTACACACAAATATATATGTGTGTGTATATACAGACACACACATATATATATATATATTTCTGAATACCAATTGATGTTCAGTGATTCTTTCTTTTTATCATTCACTAACTGTAAACTTAGTGGGAAGTTCTGGTTGTTCATCCACTTTTAGACTTTAGCCTTGTTCCAGAACTTGAGTTATGTTTGCTCACAGTTTGACTGATGTGGCTCAGTTGTATGCAGACTGTTGGTTCCTCATCTCTCAGATCTCAGATGCAATCCAACTTAACAAGTAAACACCCTTTATTAGTTGACTTTTACAATGTGCCAGTTAGGGGGGAAGTGGGTTTGCCGGTGTCCACCCCCTACCTGGCACACACACACACTCTCTCTCTCTCACACACTGGGACCCTGGAACCCATACGAGAGAGTACTGTTTTTTGTTCAGGGTTACAAAACGTAATTCCTGTAACACTTTCACATATTTAGGGTAATGTCCTGATCAAATGGTATTTTTCATGCTATAACTACCACCTTCATTAAATTTGTCACTATCTCTGCTTATTGTGTTATTCCTAACTTTTTAAAATCGTTAACTAGATGGACATGTTTTGTTATTCCTAACTGTTTCTTTGAAAAAAAATACTTATCACTAAGTCTACTTGTTTTGTTAATCCTAACTAAACTGTTAATGTACTGTTTATAATTCAAGCACTGCTTCTTGTACATGTTTGATCTAGATTTAAACATAGACTTTGGTGAGAGCAGTAAGATCTCATTACAGTGTTGTGGGTTTCAGCAGCTGAAAGCTCTATGTGAGGTCTCCACTTTGTGTGCATAGACAATTCTTAAAGGTTATGCTCACTGACATTTCACGCTGAAGACATTTGCAGTGGCACCTTTATCTTTATTTGTTTTTAAAAATCTGTTATAGTTTTGTAAAGTATTGCCTTATGTTTCAGTTATTGCACCCCTGTATCTGTGAGTGTTTACATCAGAAGGATGACTTTTCTTCCTTCTTTGTATTCACCAGCCATAAACTCTGGTTTTGGTTGTGTGTCCTCTTGTCGACCTCAAGTCTTGATCCAAAACTTGACTTTTGCATGCACATTGTTTTACAGATCTGGCTTATTTCTAGGCACACTGTTGGTTTTTTGCTTCTCAGGCAGATGCACTTTCACTTTGAAAGAATGTTTTGTTTGTCTTCAGTTTTATTGGATGTGTTTGTAAGTCTTTGCTGGCTTCATCTTAGTTTATAATTCTGAAATACTTGGTGAAATTCAGATGGAAACGATTTGGCAGCATGCCGTCTTAAGTTTGGGTAGATTTCAACAATGGTATTTAGTGCTGACTGTTCAGATAGCAGTGACAAACTATCAAGCATAAAATGTCTGAATGAAACCACAAAACAACCAGAAATTGCTGGAATTGGTTTGTATATCCTGTAAATGATGCACAGTTGACATTTTTTAATGATTAAAACTGATCATATTTCTTCTTCTACTTATTCAATTTCATCACCACATCTGTGGGTTGAAGGAAGATGTCTGCAGCCACTACTCCCTGTCCTTTAGTCTGGCAGCTTTCTGGCCACTTTGTTAGTTAATACTAATAGTCTTCACCTGTTTTGCGGAAGAGGATTTTAGAGGAACTATAGCAAGTTATGTTTTTTTTTTAAAAACTGCAGACAGACGATTCTTTGTGGCAAACTAGAGTAACATTTCCTTATAAAGCCCCAAAACAACCAGAAATTGCTGGGGTTGGTTTGCATGTCCTTGAAATCAGTCTTCCTCAGCCTTTTTACACCCGCAACCCACCAAAATGGTAATGTGTCGTCGTCGTCTCCCCCCCCCCCCCCCCCCCATAATAAGGTAAACACGAAACAAAAGCAAATGTAGATGGCAGTTCATTTGTTAGATCCAGTGTCACAAAATTGTGTTTGTCAGCTAATGTGTCATCTGCTGCTGCTGGTTAATTGTTAAAACAACCTGATATATGTCGAGCTGGGGCATTGTTTCTGATAGACCCAGCGTTACAATAATATCAGTTTGATTTCTCTGTTTGGTTTTTATTATTGACATCCCTGAGAAAGTCATTTCACACAAATAATAAATCCTTGAGTTGTTAGCCCTGACGACTAGAGAACAACCACCTACCCTACCTCGTTACATGATTAAGCAGATTTTGTAGGTGACCTACAGGGATTTGTCCGTGGCCCAACAGTGGTTGAAGAACACTACTGTAAATTTGTCAGTCCTTTGTAAAGTATATAGAACATATAGCCATAGCATAGCACTGATTTCACATGTTAAAGTAAACCTGATCTCATCTTAACAATTTATGCAAGCTAGATTTCATGTCTGACTGTATTCATATTGTATTTTAGAGTCAGCCCGTCCTCAGAGCAAGAGAAGAAAGCGAAAAGGCTCCACAAGCAATAATGCAAATGCTGGTAACATGAACAGTCGGGATGCACCTCCTTCGGGCAAACAGAAGCGGTCACCAGGACCTCAGGGTTTTAACCTAGGATCCACAGTGCCTGGTGTAAGAATATCATGTTAGGAAACATTGTCTTATATGTTTTATATTAGTTATCAAAGCTTTTAATGTTTAGAACAAAAGGTGCTGGTACTACCACAAAGTTTCTAAAAAAAAAAGTGCAGTACTAAAAAAAAAAAAGTTGCCTTAAAAAAGGTGCCTGTGATGCAGGGCTATTAAACTGGTAGCCCGCGGGCCAATCTGGCACGTGAAGGCCTAGCAAGTCACCCATGGAAATTGGCAGTTTTTTTGTATTTTTGATCATTTGATGCTGTGGCTCAGCCTCTGGCCAGTGACGATCCCCATTTTCAAAAGTTTGGGCTCTGACTAAACTTAGTTGAATAGCCCTGCTGTAATGGATGATGTTGTGTACTGCCAGAAAGAAAAACACCAGTTAGCCAACACTGACTTCCTAATTTTACTGTATATATTTGTGTGTATTAAACTCTTAGTTTGATGTTCATTTACTGGGTTTCTATACTATACTTTTTAGCAATCATTTCTATGTACTTGACATTGTGTTTGTTGAATAGTGCATAATCCATATACAAACAAACAGTATATTGCACAGTTTATTCATTGGTAAAATATGCCATTCTGTTCAGCTGCATTTGTACAGAGTTTACATCAACGTTCGGAGAAGCACATAACTTCAATCCTTTACATTGGAATACACAAATCACATTAGACATGATGCTGACCACATCACACACCAGGTGCCAATAGGTCTATAAAATATAGGTCTAGCCCTATATCCATGGCACATCTGAAAGCGTACCTTTTTTCACCCAGATCAGTCTCTTTTTTTGTATACTGTGTGCATTTTAGCAGCACAAATCTAAGATAAACCATGTGATCACATGGGGCATTGACATGTTAGATCAGCATGGGCATACACAGTAGATGGGTAACATGGTAAAAGGAGATAGTGGTGCTTATCTGACAGCTACATCAAGCATGATTGTGGAGATAACCGCTGCCCCAAGAGCACTCACATGCAGTGGAACAAGCAGCCATACATGAGGTGATCATATTAGACACCATCAGCATGCTTCAGAAAATTGTTTAACAGGCAGCCAGAACTTTTAATGGGCAGATAGAATTTGGAAGTCACACTTAACCTCTCTTGCCTAGATCTGTGCACGAGGCATATTAGAGTATGGACAGAACGGAAACTGGAATAAAATCTTTGAAGTACAGCTATGCCATCTTCAAGGCCAATTAAAAGACAGTATAACCAACTTCTCATAAACTGATTTCTTCTTCAGAATAGGCAGTCACTGATTGTGTTCCCGACATAGGAAGTCACTCGTTTTTTCTTTAAAAAAAAAAGGTAGTCACTGATCACTTCTTAATGTAAGCAGTCACTGATTTCCTCTTTAAAAATGTAGATATTTTCTTTCTGTGTTCAGTTACTGGTTTGAATCCTTTAACATTTAGTCACTTCTTTCTTCTTAAAATAGGTATTCACTGATTTCTTCTGAAAGTATTCAGTCAGTGATTCCTTCTCAAAATACGTAGTCACTTTTTTTTTGGTGAAATGTGAAGTCAGTGATTTCTTTAAAAAAAAATTGGTAGTCACTGACTTTTTTCATACAGTAGGTGGTCACTGATTTTGTTTCTTACAGTAGATAGTCGCTGATTTATTCTTAAAACAGGCAGTCAAAGATATCATCTGAAAATATTAAATCACTATTTTATTCTTACGAAGGCAGTCACTAATTTTTGTTTAAAATATCTAATCATTGGGTTATTTTTAAATATGTAGTCACTGATTTATTTTTTAAATCTGTGGTCACTGATTTAAACAGATAGTCACAGTTTTATCAAAATAAGTTTCACTCACTTCTGAAAATATTCAGTCACTCACTTCTTGTTGAAATTTGTAGTCTTTAACTTCTAAAAATATGTAGTCACTGATTTCTTCTTAAAAATATGTAGTCACTGATTTTCTTTTAAAATAGATTGTCACTGACTTTCTGTTAACTGTTTCAGTACCAGAGGACAGTTAAATTAGTTATAAATCAACACAAAATTTGTTACTTGGTATCTAAAGAGTTAAAATATGTAGTTTTTGACTTCTTAAAATTAGTTACTACATCTTAAAATTGGTAGTCACTGATTTAATTTTAAAATATGTAACCAGTGACATCCTCTTGAAGTAGGTAGTCACACATTTTTTGAGGGTTAACATTGTTCATTTTAGAGATCATCTACATCGGACATGACCGTAAGTTCTCTGATCTCCTCCTGAGTATGTCTCCTAGTTTCTTTTAGGCTAACAACTTCTATTCTTTTCTGGTTAATGTGATGATGGGTGGCTCCTGCATGGTTTTTCTGTTCTGTGGCTCCAACTTGTACACCCAACATATGCAGTCTATTATGTGAAAAATCATTTTCCATGAAACTGAAAGCCTCACAGCATTTAGTTTCTTGTATGGCACTGGTTTTGTCTCTCCTGTCCATAGAGGATCCATTTCTCATAGTCGCACTGCCAGCCAGATCGTCTGCTCTCTCATTACCTTTCACACCAGCATACCCTGCGACAAAAATGACGATGTTGCTAAATGCTGCCTGCTGTATCAGATAGAGCCACTGTTTCAATGGGTACCCTGCTTCGATGTCCTGTGGCATGCTGATTAAGTCTCTGAGCAAACATGCATTGGTGCACTCCTGAGTTTTCACACATTCTAGGGCCTTTGTCACAGCCATGACCTCCATTGTCATGTCGCTGGTGGTAGAAGGCTCCACTGTCTTCTTTAATGACTCTCCCTTTGGTTCTTGCCATGAAAGCCCATGCACTTCGCTTCTGACAAATCACAAAACCATCTGTTTGTATAACAGCATCTTCCAGTGGTGTTCCTCTGCATCAACTATTTGTGACTTCAAATCACGGCACTGTCTTGTCAGGGTTTTTGTTACTCATAAAATAAAACTGACCATATGTAGGTAATGTCCTTGGCATGTTGCACAACAGAAGTAACTGATGAAATGGCACTGACCTTATGTGATGATGTCATTCCTTCAGCTGTCGGGACATTTGCAAACGGGTCGATCCATCTGATATTTTCTTTGCTTGCATTTGACAGTAAGTAGACATCTCTAAATTTTTCTTTCTTAAACTGTCTAACCAAATCCACTCCCTTTTGCTGTTAACACATTGGGCATGTACAAGGGATCTTGTCCAGTTGGTCTGTTGCTTTTCTCCCATGTTGGTTGAGTTTACACTCATTCAGTTACCTTTCCATTGTCCTTCACCAGTTTTTTTTAAAGGTCCTCCTCATCACCTTTTTCCATCTAGCATCCACCGAAGATTGTCCATACCAAAGTGTTACAAGGCATTCACACCTGAGGTGTCCAGACAATCTCCATCTTATTCCTTTGATAACGTTTGCCAAACATGAATATTTTGTGTGAAAGCGTTTACACTTTTTTTTTAAAATAGCGTTTGCAAAATATTGTAATGTTGGTTAATGATTTTATTTTCAGGATGTAATGGTGGTAGGTGAACCAACACTCATGGGCGGTGAATTTGGAGATGAGGATGAACGACTCATTACACGGTTAGAGAACTCTCAGTTTGAACCCACAAACAATGATGACAACGTTGACAAGTTCCACAACTCCCCTGTTGTGCAGCAAAGTCAATGGGGCGGTGACAAAAACACACCTCAGCCCTCGACTGCCACCACCACACCAACCACCAACACTCCCCTGACAGAAGCCGAAATCAAGCAGGAATAGTTTCACCCATTAAAGTGTTCATACAGGGTTAAGTATTCTACATTCTTCATGTCAAACATTATGTTCTTGGGGGGGGGGGGGGGGGGGGGGGGGGGGGGGGGGGGGGGGGGGGGGGGGGGGGGGCTTTTTACTGCCTGTAAATCTACCATTTTTTAGGGCAGTCTAGGACCTGGATGGTCTTCAGCCTGACTGTGGATGGAGGGCAATCTAGGACCTGGATGGTCTTCAGCCTGACTGTGGGTGGAGGGCAGTCTAGGACCTGGATGGTCTTCAGCCTGACTGTGGGTGGAGGGCAGTCTAGGACCTGGATGGTCTTCAGCCTGACTGTGGGTGGAGGGCAGTCTAGGACCTGGATGGTCTTCAGCCTGACTGGGTGGAGGGCAGTCTAGGACCTGGATGGTCTTCAGCCTGACTGGGTGGAGGGCAGTCTAGGACCTGGATGGTCTTCAGCCTGACTGGGTGGAGGGCAGTCTAGGACCTGGATGGTCTTCAGCCTGACTGTGGGTGGAGGGCAGTCTAGGACCTGGATGGTCTTCAGCCTTACTGTGGGTGAAGGGCAGTCTAGTCTAGGACCTGGATGGTCTTCAGCCTGACTGTGGGTGGAGGGCAGTCTAGTCTAAGACCTGGATGGTCTACAGCCTGACTGTGGGTGGAGGGCAGTCTAGTCTAGGACCTGGATGGTCTACAGCCTGACTGTGGGTGGAGGGCAATCTAGGACCTGGATGGTCTTCAGCCTGACTGTGGGTGGAGGGCAGTCTAGGACCTGGATGGTCTTCAGCCTGACTGTGGATGGAGGGCAGTCTAGTCTAGGACCTGGGTGGTCTTCAGCCTGACTGTGGGTGGAGGGCAGACTAGGACCTGGATGATCTTCAGCCTGACTGTGGATGGAGGGCAGTCTAGGACCTGGATGGTCTTCAGCCTGACTGTGGATGGAGGGCAGTCTAGTCTAGGACCTGGGTGGTCTTCAGCCTGACTGTGGGTGGAGGGCAGTCTAGGACCTGGATGGTCTTCAGCCTGACTGTGGGTGGAGGGCAGTCTAGGACCTGGATGGTCTTCAGCCTGACTGTGGATGGAGGGCAGTCTAGTCTAGGACCTGGGTGGTCTTCAGCCTGACTGTGGGTGGAGGGCAGTCTAGGACCTGGGTGGTCTTCAGCCTGACTGTGGGTGGAGGGCAGTCTAGGACCTGGATGGTCTACAGCCTGACTGTGGGTGGAGGGCAGTCTAGGACCTGGATGGTCTACAGCCTGACTGTGGGTGGAGGGCAGTCTAGGACCTGGATGGTCTTCAGCCTGACTGTGGGTGGAGGGCAGTCTAGGACCTGGATGGTCTACAGCCTGACTGTGGGTGGAGGGCAGTCTAGGACCTGGATGGTCTTCAGCCTGACTGTGGGTGGAGGGCAGTCTAGGACCTGGATGGTCTACAGCATGGTTAATAAGTGCAGTCAGTCAGCAAGTGTGCAGGGTAGGCTGTTTGCTTTTCTTTCCCCCTTACAGAAAAAATTTGCCATTGCTTTACCCACAAATTAGAACTTGGGTCTCTCCTGCATGAGTCCAGCAATCTAGCCAGTCCTCTCTTTTTGGAAGTAGATTATTGTTATCTAACAAAGCTTATGGCCTGTTTAGATATATAACTGAAGGTTAGTGGAGAGGTATGCAGGGTTATTTGATAGATCTCAGGCGAGTTGTGATTGTATTGCATGTTCATTACACTTTTCTCTGTTCTGATCGGGAAATAAATATTTTGTATTTACTATATAAGACTTCTCATCCAAAACTAGCATAGTCACAATTGTTTCTTTTATTGCGACTTCGAAATAAGCTAGATGATCAGATATATCTGAAAGGAACAGTCACAGGGCCTTTGTAAACAGCCTGTATTCATTGAGAAAATGGTATTCTTGAATGTAAATGCAGTTCAGCAAATTTGTGAATAATGAATGATTAGCTGTTGCTGTATATCATGGCTATTCATGAAGAGGCCTAGCAAGGGGCTGACGGATCAGTGCGTTATTTTGTAAAATAATCATTCGACACAGTGGATTGGTTCTCTGGCCTGTGACAATGCCCATTATAAACATTCTGCCCCTGAATAAACTTGGTTGAATAGCCCTGCTATGTTTAAAGGGTTAAATTGAGTTACATCCTTTGCCATAATCAAAATGTGTGCATTACACAAATTTATGAAAGTCTCTGTTGTCCAGCAGTTAGCATTTAGTTTTGTTTTTTAACATTCTCATAGTATTGTACGTTTCTAACCTTAATTTGGGCGTCTTGATATGACATTTTTACAATTTATGAATCTGCAGAAGATTTAGTTACATATCCTCCACAGGTCGTTGCAGAACCAACGCCAGCATTTATTGGCTGTTTCGCTTCACTAGGGACTTTTACATTCACTAATTTTCTGAAGATATACTGATCTAAAAATATATTTTTACAAATTATTCAGTATTAGTGATGTTCCATTGTAACAAAAAGTTACTTTGTTATTGATATTTAAGAACACTGGCATAAAACTCATCTTATAAACCTCACAGTACCAGGCATTTGATGAATGTATGTTTGATACAGTGTTTTCAATTTTGAGTGAAATAGTGGTTAAGACACCAGTATAGTCGTCCCCATGTGGGATGCAATTTTATGTTATTTGAAGCCCCTCCCTGGCTTCTGCCAGGGGCCCTGGATATAGCCGTCACATAGATATGGCCCAACGGCTGAAAGGGGTTTCTGGGACCTCTTCGCAGTTGATCCTAATCCGCATGGTGGCAGCTTGTATCACCGGTTGTTTATCGCTTGTGTGATGTCCTGGTGGGGTACAACTACCTACCTACCCTCAGTCTGGAGAACAGATTTCTATTCCCTGGGGAGGAAAAAGATGTAGATGTGAAGTAAAATTGTTTGTACACTTCATGGCAGCTTCTCTAAGACAAGCACCGTTAATTTGAATCATTGAATCCTTCTGTAGACACAGTCAGTGATACACAAGCTGAAGGATGGGTTGTGTTTGTCAGAAACAATGTTCTTAATCTGTATAGCCAATCACAAGCAGCTGATGTGGAAGTGTATTTCTTTGTGCTGCCGACTTTATCAGCTGCTTTTTACTTTCATATTGTAGAACTGTTTGCCATTCCTGATGTTTCATGTTCTTATGCTGCTGTTGTATGGCCCTAGATATGGGTTATGTATTAGAGGTGTCAATTTTTAAACGATAATGGGAGCTCATAGGTGAATTTTTTATTTATTTCTGTTAGAGCCACAGTTGCTAGTACATTTGCCTTCGTGAAACTGCCATTTTTTTCATATAAATTATTTCTGCTTTTATTATCAATACACCATGTTGTTAAGCTCACGGAAAAAAAAAAAAAGGGGGGGGGGGGGGGTATATCGAAGAAAGCAGAAAAGCAATGAGGTGGATTAACACACTTAATGCCATCACAGAGGTAGCCTGATGACCAAGTGAGCAACCTTGACCAGACTGTGAGCCACAAAAGTGTGAGGCAAGGAAAACACTAGTAAATCAACACAGAACTAGGTTTATAGGTCGTCACATGCTAACAATTATATTGAGGGGAGGCACTCATAGTCTGGATGTGTGGTGAGGATTAGTTGACTGTTTCCTGAAATATTCTTTAATTAATTGCTTGCTTATAATTGTGTATTGGCATTATTTTTCTTTATTTCACAGGTAAACATTGTGTCAGCAAACTGTCTTGTATATGTGTGTACATACTTTATTTTTTATGCCATGAAGCGAGCTACTTTGCACTGTTTCGTTCTACCTGTGAAGTAGTGTATCTGATTTTGACCAGTTGTTTCCTCTCGCCCTTTGACAGTCAATAGTCTACCTTCAAGGCAGCAAGTTTATCTCATTGTGTAGTCCAGGGCTATTTAACAAGTGGACCGCGGATCATTGCCAATTGTATTGTTTTAATAAACTGGTGCTGTTCACATTTCCAGGCCCAGGATTAGAGTAACTTCCCTTGCCATTCATGACTCCTTAGGTCACTGGACCTCCTATGTTGTGGGGGTCATGCAGTATAGCTACAGTTACCACCATATATGTATTCAGTAGTGATTTGTGGTGTAACATAAAGTTGGCTCCACTGGTATATTGTCATACTGTAGACTGGAAATACTAATATTGTGTGCAATTACTGTCAAATGATATAGAATGCTAAATTATGAACACAGCTTGTAACAGAACAGTCATGTTACATGTGCTTGTATGCCTGATTTAAAAAAAAAAGTGTATTTATTATGTTGTTTGTGTACCTCACACAGGTTGAAACTTGTTCCTAAAAAATTCAGACAGGTGCCAGCTAGGCAGCTTGGTCGTTGTGAACGTGCTTCATAATTTTTGCACCAGACCAGCTTGGTCGTTGGTACAGAGAGCCAACTGTGCAGTTTTCTGTGGCAAACTACTCGATGTAAATTGCTGAATGAAATCACGCACAGCCCCCCCCCCCCCAAAAAAAAAACGGGGGGGGGGGGGGGGGGGGGTCAGTCTGCAACATCCTGTAAAGGATACAATACAGAACTAACTTTTCTTTGAAGCAGTACTTGATTTTTAGATGTAAATATATTACCTTGCTGCTTTTTTTTCCCCCACATTTATTTTCACTCAAGTGTTTGTTTACTTTTGGGAGTCATTTTCATAAGTTGCAAATTGCTAAGATGGGATCCAGCACTAGCTCTCAAACATTTAAAAATGGATACATTTTTTTTAAATGGCAGCATTGATACAAATCAAGTACTTTTAAAGCACTGCGGAGAGCAAGAATTGCTTTATTAACAACAGGGCAAATAACAATAGAAAGCAGTCCGTTGCAGTAAGAAAACATTTTTAAAAAAAATGCTGTGTAGTTATCTGTTGATAAAGAGTATGGATAATAAGCAGGTAAACTGAGACGTATCTATTGAAGGAAGAAATGTATTCTGAGCAGAAAAAATGCAAAGGATAAGGAATGACAAAAACAAAAAAAAAATGAATGAGGTAGTCTTTAAAACAAAAAAAAAGGAAACCAATACATTGATTAGAGAAAATGGTTGTAGGCAGCCAAAGATTGGGGTTGATGTAAGCAATAGCTGGCAAGTGCGAGGGAGACAAGGTTGAAGATGAATTAGCCGCACAGCATGATCAAGTCAATAACAGTATACCCTAGTCTGGTGATCAGACCACCTGTACGCTTTAGAATATCACATGGTTAATGAGTTTTTCTAAGGCTTCGGTGTTACGAATGCGCTTCCAAATGCCAGGTTCGATCCAAGCAGCAGCCCTTGCGCCGGTTTCAACAGTGGTATCAAGAAGCCCACTGTCCAGAAAGCAACAGCAGCCCTTGCGCCGGTTTCAACAGTGGTATCAAGAAGCCCACTGTCCAGAAAGCAGCAGCAGCCCTTGCGCCGGTTTCGACAGTGGTATCAAGAAGCCCACTGTCCAGAAAGCAACAGCAGCCCTTGCGCCGGTTTCGACAGTGGTATCAAGAAGCCCACTGTCCAGAAAGCAACAGCAGCCCTTGCGCTGGTTTCGACAGTGGTATCAAGAAGCCCACTGTCCAGAAAGCAACAGCAGATTACTGGACATAGATTTGCCTAGAAAAATCACAACAGCCAAAAAAATTGCTGGCATAGGTTCTGCAACATCCTGCAAAGGATACACAATAACCTTTTTTTTTTAAAAATGAGTTTAGAATAACAGTGAAGCTTGTATTGCAGAAGAACAAAGCATTAGTTTCCTTGCTAATTGTTACTGACGTCATTATATTAATACATATAAAACATGTCATGTCCAGATACCTCAAAATGACTGTTGTATAGCAAATATTTATTGTCAGAATATGGTAATTTAAACAAAACGAGACAAAAAAACAAGTGTGAGGCTGGTGCAGTACATGTTTTTGTATTGTCTGCTGGAATGTTGTGTTGCTAACCTTTCCTGACCAAGTATCATGTTGTTTCTCTGCAAGATCCAGCAAGTATTTAAAAAATGCAGGGGTGTTGCAGTATAGTAGAGTACAGAGATCAGGTGCTGTTGGTTGGGTTTTTTTTATGTGTACTTTAAGGACATTCATGTTTTTAAAATCTGCATATAAACAAATGAGCATGCATGTATATTAACTGAAGTTATATGGCACATCTTATAATAAACCAAGTACACGTTGTTCACTTACGACATTGTTTTCTTTGGTTTGCTGTAGTTTTGTATGTACTTGTTTGCAATTTAAAACATACAGGAAGGTTGAGAACCCATGAGAATCAACTAGAATGTCTTTGTACTGGAACCAACAGGGTCAGAGACATATTTCTTCTGATTGCTCATCCACTTCTGGACTCTACTAGTCTTGTTCCAGAACCTGCATATCTTGTGTGCACATTCATTTGATAGATCTGGCTTATTTAAACGCAGACTGCAGATTACTCATCTCTCAGGCCGACTCCTACAAAATATTCCTGATTAGTAGGCTCTTACTACATGCTCGTCAGGGGGTCTATTCTTCCCTCTCCTGCCCAATGGGGCCCCAGAACCTACACAGGAAGGTCACAGAAATAAAGGCAGACCTGGAGAAGGGAATGAGTGAAATTCTAAAACATCATTAATCTGTCAAGGGCATTATCATTTAACTATAAAACCACACTGCTTCCAAATAATATTTTACTACATACAACTGTCCATGATTCATTTCAATATAACAGCTCTTGAGAATTCTTTCTGTCTTGTCTCAACTAACAAAGATGCAGAGAATAATTGTTACACACAGACTGATATGAAACACAGTAGAATGTTCTTGTTGCAAATGGCCAATGTCGTTAGTTTCGCAATTGGACGGTTGTGACAAATTCTCGTGTTAGGGTTAGTGGGGGGAAAAGAGAAAAATATACCTGAAAAGGTGAATAAATGACAATATACACGCACATGGCAACACACAAGACAAATACAAAACAAAAAATAAAATTCAGTATCTTTATTTCCTTAAAATATTAACTGAAGCTAATTTGCTTCCGTTTGAGTAGCTAATATAGTTTGAGGAAATTTTAGCTGAAAATAAAGATTCAGATATGTACAACATAAAAAAAAAATCCTCTTTGCTATCAATAGATACTAATTGATGCTGCTAGCACTGTTTTGTTTGGAGAAATGCTGCACTGAGAAATGTTCATGCAAGCTTAAAGCTGTGAATTTTGTAAAGGACAGATAAAAAAAATATTAAAAATTCGACGAAGTTATTCGTAATTTTGTGGTTTTGGATAACTAAATTGCTGCATTATTCTACCACCTTTGCAGTGTAGACGGGGGTCTTTGAGCCTGAGCATTCACGGCCGCATGGCTAGTGCTGTCACCATGACTGTGCAGGAGAGAATTTTATTTTGCCCCCGACAAAAAAAAATACTTGAGGATTCGAACCTGGGTCTCCCACTTGAGAGCCCAGCATTCTAAATGCTCGGTCAGCATCTCGATTTAGGATATATATGTATATGAAAATTTAACTGAAGAGAGAATGTTTTTTGCTCAGTGTGCCGGTCAGGTCAATACAACTAAAGTGGTAATTTTGTTCTCGGAATATTAAAAAGTTAGCGCATCATGAATAAAGAATAATGAATAATGAAATTCAAACACTTTAGTGACAACACAGTGATCTTAAAAGAACAAAATAGACACTAGCCAAACTGCAATATTTCTTCAGTAGCCACATAGATCTTTTTAGACAAACATCATTTAAAAGCTGGTGTGTGTTTCTATGAGACTTTACCGCCTATTGGTGATCTAGCTGAAATTTATCAAACTTAAAACTGCAGGAAAAAACTCCCTCTTGTAGAACTGCACCAAATCAACATTATTCTACAGGTGAAGCCTCTCTCTCCTCATCAGACTTGAGACTTCTACTCAAGGATCGACTCTGAGATCTGTAGAATAAAGATGAAGATTAAATACATTGGCTACACTTCTGGCATTCACTAGTTTTTACCCAAAAAAAGTTAGTTGTGTGTCCCTTGCAGACTACTGCAGAACCAAACTCTGCAGTTTCTGGTTGTTGTTTTTCTAGGCAAATTTATGTTAAGTAGTTTGTCATTGCGAAGAAACCAGTCAGCTCTCGATAACCCTGTCAAAACCAATATAAGGCGATCTGCTGTCAAATCACCTGCAGGTGAAACAGAACTTGGCACCCCTGCATTATAAGGCACACTCACAACGCCTAAGCCACTGACGCCGACAAGCACTAGTGCTGCCTTATGACACTAAAACATGCACAGAACAGAAATGGAATCACTAATGTAGTTTTTGGAGAACAATTCCAGTGAAACGAGCTGAGGAAAAGACAATGATCTTGGATAGCACACACAACTAAGTAAACCTGGAAGTATAATTATAATGCATGGGATGACAAAAAAAGGGTAGACCACAAAACACAGAGGCAATGATGGTGACATGCATATGATTAGAAATGAAGGATATGATCTGGTTAGGAGCATATTCTATTGGTGGATAAATGACACATGAAGTACTATTACACCTTTTTGTGTACACAAAAATGTTACTAAACCCCCCCCCCCCCCCCCCCCCCCATACTTGCGGCATGCCTGTGTGGGTTTCGGGAATTCAGTGCCTCACTAGCAGCAAGCATGTCATAAGAGTTAATTAGGGGTTTCCTCAGAGGACGTTTGCATGAGAGGCAAGTAACCAAAAGTCTACATTCAAATAAGTCAGATCTGTAAAACGGAAGTGCATGCCAAAATTCAAGTACTGTAAAACAACTTAGCCCAGAAGCAGATGAACCAGAACCACCCCCCAACAGTTTAAAGAAGAAACTGCATGCTGTATTTTCATATACTTAACAAAGGTACAGCCACATAGCAGGTAATTACTGCTGGGATATAAAGTGTTAGGCCTCACATATTCTAGGCCATGGTATATAAGGCTGAAGGTGACCAGTTCCCATCTTCATCACTTTTCCTGTTAAGGAAAATTCTGGAAATGTTCTGCTACCCAATTTCATGAGTCATACCACAATTACTCTCAACAGCCAATCACTGAACATACCAGTATAAACTCTTCCATTACAACTGTCTGATGTGGTACATGCCACTGTGAATAAAATCAGATTATAGATCACACTGATTACAGCTGATTAGGTGGCGCCAAAGGTGTTATATTGTGGAAACATGAATGCTTTGGTTTTATACTCCATAAATAGGCTTTACTACAACTTTCAAGAACAAAATGTTGATTACAGCTAAAATTTCAAATACTACACCAGGTTTTATCCCATTTGGCTGTCTCCACAAAATGACCTGCAACGAACTCCACAAAGCTCATATTCTATATCTCCTGCAACGATCCCTAGAGATCTCCATCAAAACTTCTCAAGAACTAAACACAGTCTGTGAAACAAATTAATGACCTTCAGAGCTTAAGACACTTAGCTTAACACCCCCCAACTGTTTCAAAGAGAAGAAAAGCTCTTGGACCAGCAGCATATTACTATTTTAAAACACATACCTAACATCCTTTGTCCTGTCATATGATGCTGATCGACTTCTAGATCGGCTGTAAGATTTCCTGAGGGGAAAAGATTCAGCGTATATTAACTTACAGTTGCCCCTGAAAGAAAACTATATGAACAACAAAATGTAAACACACCATCTTATTCCCGAGACACTCCTGCCCTTAAAGCAGCAGTTATCAACTTGCCAGACGCGACCTTTGGGGGGGGGGGGGGGGGGGGGGGTCGAATATCCCTTTCCCAGGGATCACCTAAGACCATCGGAAAACATATTCATTGAAGTTATGAAGGAAAATAATTGTTTGGGGGTTGCCACAACATGAGGGAACTGTATTAAAGGGCTGCAGCATTAGGAAGCTTGAGAGCCACTGCTTCAAAGCAAAAAAGTTTAAATAAAGCACCAGGTGGCTTGCCTCTGCAGAATAACTGGACCCTTGCTAAGAATGTCAAGCAAATAGGAACTCTTCAACACCACTGATAATCTTCCGGTATTTTAAAACAAAACTGTACTTGTGAAACAGATGCAGTCAGAAATGAACATAAAAGACATCTGTCCTTAGGGTCCCAACCATGCAGCACTGGTAATCATGTCAGCCACAGCCTTCTGCCTCATGTACTGTCAATCATTTCTGATACAGATGCTCTTCCATGTTATAATGCTCAACTCCATTTGGTTTTCTCTTTGCCTCTCTTCCATCCTTTTCTTTTGCAATGAAATTCAATTTTCCATCTTCTGAACTGCCTAGATGATCTCTTTCTGACATGTATAATCTGTTCTCTTTGTTATGTTGCGCCTTTTTTCTCCACTTTTATTCTTTTTTTTAAAACTACAAATCTCAACAGCTTCCAAGTAGTTGTTCACTGGCTGACTGTCCATGATCCACTTCAATGATCCAAGACTGGCTCAATACAGCTCTTAGAAACTGCTACAATAATGAACTAAAATTTACACACAATAAACCCACAATGTGGTCATTTATCAAATTACAAAAAAAAAAAGTGTTTTTCCTTTTTTCCCCTCATATAAGCTAGAAAAAAATCTAGATGTATCATTTGAAATATAAATGAAATACAAAGACTATTTATTTACCCATCTCTTCTTGGTGTGCGGCTTCTTGTTCTAGAACGTCTGAAAGTTTTAAAAAAAATTAAATTATATATTCTCAGGTCTAACAATGTGTTGAGTTGATTCAAGAACCGACATCACAGCACTCGGGGCATTCCCATAAGTGCTTTGTCCCCATCTTCAGCAGCCAGTGAAGAGTTCCAATACTAATGGTGCCAGTAGGTCTAACAATAAAAATCATCATCATATTACAGATTCTTTAAATGCTGCATTCACCATGGCCACATTCTGACAATTCCCTCCATTTTTCTGTCCCTTTTATTTCTAAATAGGACACAGACCTTCCACCGATTTCTCCTCATGTGTATATGATAATATATTCTTCATGTGTACCAATCAATATGGTATATGAACTGAATATTTTAGAAATCGGGAGCAGGATCAGTTTGAGTAGACACTGCAGTAAAGAGTATCAACATAATAGAAAAATCATACATAACAAATTTAAGACAATATACAAAAAGAGTCAACAATAAATACATGGTGAGCTGCTCAATACTAAAAAAGTTTTGCACAAAATTGGGGGGGGGGGTGTGAGAGGGGGAGAGAGAGGAGAAATAGAGATAGAGAGAGAGAGAGACACTTACTTGGCTTCCTCAGGGCTGTGTGAGCGAGACCTGTACCTAAAATGATTTTAAAAAAAATAATAAATAGAAAATCAAGATAATTTTCATTTAACAGATAGTTAGATCAATAATCTAATAAAAAATCATAATTTTAAATTCATAAAAAAATAAGATATTCTATGAAAGCAGAAGACTGACCAAAAAGATTATACATCCACACAGAGTGACAGTGGCCAGTGCTAACCACTGAAAATGAGACCACAAACTGTTCCTGGTTATACACACACATGGGAGACACCTTGGGGGATAATCTTTACACTTTACAGTGGACCCAACACCGGCTTGTTCCTACTGAATTTCTATTTGTTCGCAACCTTGTGGTACAATCTTTTATTCTTATGATAATCAATACACTGAAAGGATCTTATTCTGTTCATGCTATCACACTTAAAAAGGCTGAACAATTTATATTTCACAAAATATAAAATATGAGAGCTCAAAGCATCACAACTCAGCTTCCAAAGTGGGTTTCTGGGCTCCATCCATTGTGGTGGTGGTGGTGGGGTGGGGGGGTGTCTATTCTCCAACCCATATGTTTGTTAATAGCGCATTCTGGTGGGACAGCATGCATGGAGCCAACCAGTTCAAATACCCTGCAGCTGTAACAGACTGGAAGGGAGGCATTAGGATAGAGTTGGCTACTCGAAAAGCACCTGCTGGGAGACTTTTCCAGGCCACAAACTGAGGGTTTCTTAGAAAAAAAACTGGAAAGAGGATGAAAATGGCTGTTTACCGCTCTACCTATGTGCCAGTCCTGACCTACGGGTGTGTGTCATGGGTAATGACAACAGCTCACGGAAGCCAGCTTCAGGCCTAAGAAATGATATATCTGAGAAAGGTGGTCCAGGTGACAAAGTATGCAATCAGACAATATGTCAGGATGTTGAAACCCCGGCCTTACAAACTCAAGTGGAGTAGTCATTGCTGTGACTGTTTGGACATGTATGAAGAATGGGAGAAAATGGACCATCATGGTAGGCATGGGATGCCAAAACCCAGGGCAACCTAGGGTTCTCTGTGAAGACAATATCTGTCAGTCCCCTGACTGAAAGAAGACGGGAATGAAACAAAGGCAAAAATAGAACTGCAGACAGAGAATTCTGGCTATCTCTCTGGCAAACCTCTATACCCCAAAGTAGAAGAGGATTGATTAAGTGAGTAAGTTAGCACATTCAACTGCTAAAGTTTACCATCCTAATAAATAAAGTTAGCACATTCAACTGCTAAAGTTTACCATCCTAATAAATAAAGACTGTCATCAATATGAGACAATATAATGAAACTGGTTATAATCACCAGTGCTAACACTTGAAATTATTTCAGTTTATATATTCAGTAAAAATAGGTTTCACTTGCTTTAAAAGGGTTGACTGCCAGATTTCTGTTTGCCTAAATTCTGCAGATTGTTTGACTGAAGTCATATAAAAAGTGGCCATAGTAATGCAGCAGCTAAATAGCATTTAATGTGTATGATAAAACACCATCATGGACAACATAAGGATGTGAGACTTGGACCATTTCACCAACTCAAGAAGACAGATAATCAGAGTTCCTGAACTAAATATTACATAACAAATTAAAAACAAGGACAGGAAAAATACAGCAATTTGTCAGCTTTGCAAGATCAATTACCATTAAGAAAAATAAAATGAGGAAGTTGCGGCAATGAGCCTTTAACAAGATAATAAGAAAACAAAACAAGACAAACATGAACTGAATCTGAAATGGCAATATTATAAGTATCCCTCTTACAGATGAACAGGAAAGCAGTAAATCCTGATCTAAAGACCCTGGACGAACAACAACCCTTATTGGTCTGCTGATATTCTTAAAGGTTCAACACCGAAAAAGACTGGTTTATAAACAGCCTCATGTGTTGGAAACTGAACAGCCGTGGCCATGTTAAACATCACAGAGGTTTAAAACAAGTAATAATGAATGGCATGGTTCTTGGACAAAATGGCAAGAGATGACCATATGAAAATACAAGATGTTTGAGGTTTAAGGAACGGATCAACATCATGGCACACAGGTAGTAACCCATAAGTGCTCTGTTCCTTCTTCTAACTCAAGTCCGAGTCTCAAGAAGCTCAGCACAGTGCATAGGCTGTGTAGCACTGACGAGAATCCTGAAATACTTTGTGTAGATTTTTGCCCGGGCTGCGCCGTTAGGCTACTTTTTCGATTTCCAACTGCCAAGGGATTTTGTTGTGTGTGCAACAATGCACACAGGTGTCCGATCCCACTACCCAGAGTCCAGAGGGAATTACTAGAAGTCCGTCCACATGAAAAAATCCCAGCCCTTACCGGGGATTGAACTCGGAACCTCTATCACTCGAGGCGGACACTATGCCTTGAGACCACGCAGCCCTTCACATGAAGATACATCAGACAGGGAAACTGATAAGTTGTACAGCAGTGGTGGGCAACCCTTATTGGTCTGCAGGCCAAATTTAGAATTACAAATGTGGTCACAATATAAATGTTAAAATAAAAATCTATTATAAACATAACACCCAGATTTTCTTGTAACACAATATTCTTGTGAGAAACTCTAAGATTTTAAACCCTTGCTAGGGCTACAGCCTGCCCACCCCTGGTCCAGAGCATCTCAACAGGCCATGAGGGATGGAACATTCCAGAAAGGACAAGCTGCAGGATGATCAAATCTAAAGAAATTGAAAAATGGCAATCATGCACAACAATGCTGACAGTGTCACGAGTGATTGTCAACCCAAAGCAGTTTTAATATAAATACACACATTTCAACAAGTAATTTACAGCAAGAACACATACCGTTTTGTCTCTGGGCTGCGGGAGTAAGAGCGGTACCTGGTGGCGGAAAATATATATATATCTTTCTGAAGCATGCCAAAATAACTGTCTCTAAATGATTATATAAAGCTTGCAATGAATGATACAAATTAGGGCACATTATCTGTTCACATAAAAAAAAAAGATGGTAACATAATCATTTATTTCTACCTGCAACATATAATTTATTTTATTTTTGGTCAGACTGGGACACGGTCACTAACCATAATCTTCTTCTTCTTCTTTGCGTTCACCAGCTGTAAACTCTGGCGGAAAGTTCTGGTTGTTCGTCCACTTCTGAACTTCAGTCCTGCTCTAGAACTTGAGTGTTGTGTGTGCATCAGTTTTACAGATCTGATTCACTTGAATACAGACTGTTGGTTCCTTGCCCCTCAGGCAGATGTACTCCGACTTCAAAGGAAGCTCCCCAATAAGTCGACTCTTACGACATGCTTTTGGGTGGGCAGTGGGTCTATTCTTGTTTTCCCCCACAATGAGGCCCCAGAATCCAGACGGGGAACTAACTATAATAATCTTTCACCTTGTCATGGCGTAGAAGGTCCTTTGCAGGATGGACTCACTGCTCCTTAACAAACATGTTGCAAAAGGCAACTATTTGGGGATCTGTTGAAATTAGAAGTGCTGGAGAGAAAGGCACAGATATTGCAGCCTAGCTGTAAACCGTAACACAATATGCCTACCGCCCTTTTAAAGGGCGAAATGCAGAGGCTGAGTGGTCAGCGTGTGAAAGATGATGTATCAGTGCTGTGTTGCAGTCCTTAATATCAAGAATCTGGTGCCTTTTATTACAAGAATATGTACCACTAGAAATATTTGCAATCAGCAATGAACCAAAAGACATTTACCTTGGACTGCGGCTTCTTGATCGGTTTCGTCTTCTGTCATAATCATCATGTCTTGAGTATGGTGATCTGCGAGATCTTTCTTTTCCCCTCATCTGACCGGGAGCTTTAAGAAGAAAAAAAAATTAAACGTCAGGGTGCCAGTACTTTGTAAGAGTGAGTATATGCATTCATACAGTTAACAACTATCTGATTATAACTATGAAGAATATAACTTCAAAACTGCTGGTTCAAAGCCTGCATGAGAAAGGAGGAGGCTGGGCGTGGGGCCAGCTTTGTCACCCTATAAAAGTTCTGCTACAGAAACTTGCAGAAAAGAAGCACAGGATAGAACGAAATGGAGAAATAGATTATGTGACTTATAACGGCACAACAGAACAAGGACTGACAGATACTGATATGCAGTTTGTGAAGGCCTAAGTGGATATAACACGTGAAAATTTCAGTTATCAAGCATTCCAGATTTCCCCTACACTTTAAGACATTTGCTGCGGGAGAAACGGCATCTATGAGTATGCCTCAAATGCTGTGATGTTGATTGTTAAATCAGTAATCACTATCAAAATGCTGACATCCTTCTGTTTCCCTAGCAAGCATGTTATAAAATGCGAACAATTAGGGGTTGGTTGAAACTGCATGTCTTGGGCCAAAAAGGCTAGCTATATGTAAATTACAACAAAAAGTGCTGATCGCCCTTTAAGGGTAACCACAGAAAGAATGAACACTGATAATAAAATATTCCTAACCATCAGGGGTATCATAAGCATAAATATTATTTTAACGATAGCCGGAGATGTGAATTAATTCTACAAAAATTGTCATTCACTTACATTTTCGATCACCTCTGGCAAATTCGATCTCCAGCTCCCTGCCATAATAGCGTGTGCGATCAAGGTAGTACAAGGCATCATCTGCATCTCGTGGATCTTCAAATGTGATACTGTTAAGGATTTTCTTCTCAAGTGTTCAAGCAATTAACAACATGCATGCTAAGAGTGCATAAGTTTGGAAAGAAGAACAAATTAAACAGTGAGGAGAAGGAAAAGACAAAGGACTTTAAAACTAGTACTACTAACAATAAGTAAAGGACCCTTTTCCACGTCTTCAGGTGTATTGGGCACATTGGACTAGACTTTATTTTATAGACAAATCGGCACTTGGTAGGTCATGTGGTCAGCATCACCGGCCATGTCTGCACCTGGTACCCACTCAGGGCTGGGTCAACCTGGGAGCCAAGGTCATTTTTGAAGAACAAAAGCTCGGTTACGTCAGGACCCGAACTCACGACCTTCCGATCTGCAGGTGATTGACTAGCTGCTACACCACAGCACACTACTTATAGATTTGAAATTTAAAAAAGCAGCACTATGGAACTGCTATGTTTAAAGAAAAAATACACACCATCCGTTTCCTGTATACTGTGACGGGCAAGGTTCGTGGGAAAATAGCGAGGGTCGAGGCTAAGAGATAAATATCTGGATGGCTCAGCCATGCGGACAATGCAAGACTTAACTGTTGTTCTGGTGACTGTGTGAGATGGCTAAACATGTTTACCTACACTTAGCAGAACAAGCATGACTGAAACTAAACGGACATTACTTTTACCACCAAAAAAAAAAAAACATTAAATAGGTATGTGCACAATAAAAGCTGACCAGTAAGATTTTTTTTTTAAAACTATATCATGAAGTAATAGTAGTGACACCAGAATATGGAAATGGTAGTTGGATATGCTAATGAAAAAGCTGTGACCTGCAAACTGGCTGTCACAATTAACAAATGAGCGGCAGTGAAAGGATACATATTTGTCTTGCAACGACCAAATACTAGAAATCTATCATATCTGAACCCATGTAGCAAATTGATCAGAAGCCTCTGGTGGAGACTGCTCTAGGGCGGAGTCTATTCAACCGATATTATTTTACATTAAATGCAACCCTGAACAATTAAATATTTATTGATTATTAATTTCTGTCAAGTAATTATTTACTGAAATATTGTGTGGGTTCATATTAAGAGAGCATCACAACTCAATAAATTAGTGATTTAAATTCTTCTGCACAATTCATAGCGCTTCAAAGATACTTGTTAGTGAATTTACCTCACTTTAGCAAGTTAACAAGTTTTCACATTTTCAACGTTTTGTATCTACTAATAGCGGCACTAATTTTATTTTTATTTTCAAAAGTGCATTTCAAACAATTTTGGCAAGATCAAAATATGCAAAACACACCAGAGGTCATACTGGAAATAGTTTCTCAACTAAGCAGACTCGACCTAACAAAACAAACTATATGATGAAACCAGCCCACCAACATGTGAATGTCTGCATACAACATAACTACTCACAAACAGTATTCCTTAGGATATGAGTTGCATTTGCTGACTTGCTGGTCTTGCTTGAAATCTGTTTTAACTTGCTTATGACTGTACCTTGTTTAACTTGCTTGAAACTGTTTAACTTGCTTTTATGACTGTATCTTGTTAACTTGCTTGAAATCTTGTTTTAACGTCTGAAGTATCTTGTCAACTTGTTTCCCACTAGACCTCTCTCTCTCTCACTCTCTCTCTGGAGCTTTGGTATGTTGTTCTTGGTGTAAATGTGATTAAAAGACTATTCCCTCTCCCATCATATAACTCTACTGGACCTTTCACATAGACTCTGATCTTGTGCACTATGACTTTGGTCTAGTGTGCTTGACTCGACCAGTAATCTACAATGCTTGCCTTGTGCTTTAACTTTGAAATCACTTGGCATTCTGATAGGAAAGATAAAAGTAGTCATTATTACAATTGTGCAATGGTTTGCATGGACAAGTCATCTCCAGGTACTGGAAAATATATATTGGTCTGGTGTTCCTGTGTGTAGCAATTCTGTATCTGTTTTATAATCCCTGTTTAAGATTTTATCAGTTAAACGCTGTACATCTGTCAGACTGACATTACCAATGAAGGACTTTGAAAAAATAATTACAGTATTTAAATTGTGTATGGTATTCAGGGATGCACATGTGATATACCAGGACCAGAGCACAAACTGGTCAAGATCTCACCGCAGTCATTCTAGAAACAGGTTCCCTTGTGATGTTGAACATGGGATTAGCTATAAACAAAAAAATTTTTAAAGGCTGGGGGAGCTTGATCAATGAAGAAAGTTACAGTGCATCTGCCTTAGAGAAAAGAAACTAAAGTCTGCACACAAATAGTGTAACATATATGTCTACGTAAAATTCAAATCCTCAAACAAGAATGAAGCCCATAAGTGGGGAAATTAGGACCTTGTGCTAGAGTTTACAGGTGGTGAACACAAATAGGAAGAAGTACAGTCTGAAAATTACATAATAAGACTAATGTCTATAAAAAAGACACCATTCATATACCATCTGGTCAAATTGCAATGCCGCTTGTTTAGGAGACGACAAGTAACACACCATTTCTATCAGCTTGTGATAGTTGCTTTGTGACATAAGCAGCATGGAGCAAAGAGAACATTAAATTATGTTTTAAACTCAGAAATAGTGCTCCTGAGACAGCTGAACCGATGAGATAAGTTTATGAGGATCACAAAGTCTATCTTGTGCATCCGGCGGTAATAAAGATGTAAAACAGGGACTGGAAAAGATTAAACATGAAGCTGGACCAAGTAATCCAATCTCTATTTGTAATGATTAACTCACAGCCAAAGTCAAAGAAGAGATATATGAAGACTGATGCCTGACTGTAAGGATGAGGCTAAATGAGTATGATGATGAAAATGACAAACACTGGTCCTCATTAACTTATTCCATTAATTCAACTGTCACAAGAGCAGGTTACTTCCAGTTTGCTGACCAAATCATAAACAAATGGTGCCAGTTTGGATGACATACTATGCTTTAAAGACGGCACTCTTGTCAAGTCTGATTATTGAAGTGTCAGATTGTATCGTATCTAACAGGATTTCTTGACCTCAGAAAATAAGGCAGAAAACACAAGCAGTTACTTCAGTTTACAGGCTAGAAGTAAATTTTATCTTAGGCTATTGGGAGCTTGAGCAAGGAAGAAAATCTAACCCACACAGTGTGTGGTGGGATTTGCATTTCAACATCTGGGGCCTTGCACTTCCTGCATACTGTCACCAGCATGAGAAATATGAGACCATGTTCTGGACATTAACTGAATGCAAATGTGGAAAACAAACAAATAATCTGGATGAAACTGCAGCAGAACTGGTAACAGCTTGATGCCACCAATCAAGGATATTGCACATAAGCAAACCCACGAGGCCGTCTAGTATAATAATCCATGGGTATGTAGACGTCAGAGATGGGTCCATACTTTCCAAATAAGCTTCTCAAATCCTCTGGGCTAAGAATAGTAAAATACAACTGCATTTTGAAGCAATGTCTATAACCTTGTTCACAATAATCATACGAGGTAATCTGTTAAAAAGTTCAGTCAGTAACGCAAAATAAAATATATAGACCATACAGTCAAATGTTAATAGATTATGTGAGTATGATGGCCATATCTGTATAATGTATTTAAAATTAAGGGCTTCCAAAACCCAGCTATCCTCCGAATAACAGTCCTAAATTATCGAGGTGGAAAATATACCCTAACAGGGCCTCAGTCACGTGTCATTTGTGCACTTCCGTCGTCTTAAATTTCGCACTTCCGGTGACTTCCGCCACTGTCGAGAGTATCCCCCACACTGCTCACGCGGCGTGGATTTGTGCTAAACTAGATGGCTGGGACTCATGAGCAGCAGCTACCAATCTCCTGCAGCTCCCTTCATTTTATTTGCTCGTTGAGTCCTAGCCATCAAGTTTAGTCCCAATCCATGCAATTGACATATGACTGAGGCCCTGTTAGGGTATATTTTCAGCTTCCATAATTTAGGACCGTTATTCGGAGGATAGCCCAAAACCCTGCTCTCCTCCAAACTTCTACCCCATATTATGGCTGCACAACCCTAACTTGGCCTCAGTCCTAGGCAAAATGCAGACTTCCCGCCGAGGAACAAATCGTGGCAAAACTAGGATCGTCTCTGATAAACGAAACAAATGCTCTAACAGGGTCTCAGCGATATGTTAACTGCGTCTATGCCGCACCGCCAACAGTATACACCGTGGGGGTTAAACTAGATGGCTGGGACTTACGAGAAGCAGCTACCGCATCTCCTGCAACTTCCTTCAATTTAACTGCTCGTGAGTCCCAGGCATTTAGTCAAGATTTCCATCCGTGCCGCGTGCAGCGGCCCGGGGGATATGCTCGGCGGTGAGTTTAATCGGAAGAACATTATCGCTAATCTGCGTTGCAGCGCGTGGTCTCCCCGCCATATCCATATTATCGTCTGTAATGTTGCGTGTCTTGAAATTGTCAATGGTCGCTAGTATCGTCTGCAGGGACGTTCAAAATAGTTAACGGTTGCTATTATCGTCTGTAGTGTTGCGTCTCTTGAAATTGACAAGTAATCCTAGTTTTGGTTTTGCCGCGATGTGTTCGTCGCAGGATGTCCGCATTTTACACACGACTGAGGCCCCGTTAGGGTATTTGGCTGCCCACCATAATATGGGGTAGAAGTTCGGAGAGCCCAAAACCCTTTAAATGCCCCCCCCCCCCCAAAAAAAAAGGAAAAAAAACAGCAAGGAAACTAGTTTAAGCCCTAATTGCTAAGTAAATAACGTTTTATGCAATTGTATGAAATAAATAGTGCCAGCTCTATTAAAAATTTTTTTTTTCTAAAATTCGCATGTTCCAACGCATAAATGATGATGGTGAGACATAAGATGTTTATTTTTTGTTAAAGTTTTTTTTATTGTTTAAATTTTAGAACACTTCATTTTCAGTCACTAAATACTACTTATTTTAACTACTCATTAGATACTTCACACAATCGGGATTGAGAATCAAACACCATGATTATCATTATGCATTATCGTTGTTGCAGGCTATGCTAAGCTCCTACTGTGTACTGTACCAGTACTGTCTACTAGCCACTCCTGAATCATTTTCATGTCATCAAATTCAAAACCTTGAAAACCGCTGCGAAGAAAATGTTTGTTAGTGTCGAAAAGACCAAAGACATTCTTTATCTAATTCTTTGAACTATTGCTCACCGTGTGCCATCCGGAACATTACGAACATACAGAGATGTGTTCGGAGGCCTTGAGTAGCGAGACATATTGTCTACCAGCTATAAGGAACCTCTCAAAATGAGTTTTATAACCGCTGTAACACTGTGATTACAACAAATATGGCGACTAGAAATTCTTTACCTTTCACGTCGGAAATGCCAGACTTTCATTGCTAGGCTAAGCTATATTATATTATTTGTAACTTGGAGACATGCACGTGTATAATTCTTCTTCTCCTTCTTCTACTCTTCCACCTTATACCTCATCGAAGTGTCGGGGGCAAATGTAATGTTCGTTGATGAGCTCTGTCAAGAGCACTATTAGAACTGATGTTCATTTCTGTAAGGCTGTTCTTAATGCCATCACTCCATTCTTGTTAGGTGTCCAAACCACTTCATTTGTTGTTCTTTGATTACCTGTAAGACTGGGATTCCTAGCATTCGTCTGATTTCATGATTTCGTATTCTGTCTTTCCTTGAAACTCCTGCAGCTCTTCTAATGCATTTCATCTCTGTTGTCACAATTTTACGTTCATTGAAGGATGTAAGTGTCCACGTTTGGCATTGATAACACAGTGTTGGCCAAAACATAGTTCTGATAGATTCACTTTAGTACTCCGAGGTATCTGCTCGTGTGTCAACAGGGAAGATAGTTGACCCATTACTTGATTAGCTTTGGCACATCTGGAGCTAATTTCTCTGTCCAGTTTTCCGTCTGATGTAAAAATTGCTCCCAAAAAACTTAAATTCCTCTGTTTGTCTCAGGGTGTTGTTTTTTAATTTAATTTTTAAATTGTCTTTATGTCTTCTTATCATCATTGTCTCTGTCTTCGTAGTGTTTATTTTCATATTATAATCCTCCCCTTTGTTACTAATTTGATTTAGATGGTTCTGTAGGCATTCCGTATTTTCTGCTATGAGTACCTGGTCGTCGGCGAAAAGTAATTATGTGATATCTTCTTCATGATTAAAGTTCGTTTCGCTACATATGGTATCCATGTAGGTTATAAAAAGAAACGGCGATAGTACACAGCCCTGACGCACACCAGAGTTCACTATAAAAGTTCTTGACAACCCTGCCTTCGATCTTATAAATTTACTACGTGTGTACAGGCTTTTGCAAATATTAATGAGATGATTGCTGAATACTTTTTTTCCCCATACATTCCCACAATATATTCCTGTCGACTCTATCGAAGGCTTTTTCTTGGTCTATGAATGTCAACAAACATGTCTTATCGTGTCCTATTGCCCTCTCTGATAGTTGTCTCAATGTATAAATGGCATCTGTGCAACTTCTGTTTCTTCGAAAGCCCATCTATGCTTCTGAAAGTTGATACTCGATTAATGGTCTCAGCCTTTTTTCGATGATCTAAGCAAACATTTTCCCAGTGTTACTGAGAAGTGATATTCCTCTGTAATTAGTACATTCTCTCTTACTTCCTTTATTTTTCCACAACTGGACAATGACAGCAGTCTGCCAATCTGATGGTGTTTCTTGATTTTCCCATGCCACCTGAAATATTGTCTTTAACCATATTGCTCCCGTTTCACCTGCTGCCTTGATGGCCTCAGCTGGTAGATCATCAATACCTGTCGCCTTTAGTCTAGGGGCGGTTCGAATGACATATTTTACTTCATCCAATAAAATACCTGGTCCTAGTTCCTCTGCTGTTAGTTCCGAGTTGTTTTTATGTTCTTCCCTGCTTTTATCGTTTTTTTTTTTTTTTTTTTGCAGCTAAGTAATGCTTTAAAGTAATTACTCCACCTTGCTAAAATGTTGGTAGGTTCTATTAAAGGTTGGCCAACTTCATCATTTATAATTTCTGTTGGGTTGTATTCTTCATTCCTGTTTCTCATACCTTTGATTTTTTGTAGTAGTTTTTCACTGCTGTTCTTTCTACTTCAGCCATCTTGCTTCCAAACTTTTCCCATGAATCTCTTTTCGCTTTTCTGATAGTTCTATTTACTTCTCTTCTAACTATCCTGTATGTTATGTAATCCTTTTCTGTTCTGCTCCTCAGCCAAATGCCATAAGCTTTCTTTTTATTGCTCACAATTCTTCTTATTTCTTCAGACCACCATGTTGAGAGCTTACGCCCTATGTTACCTTTCCTTTTAGTTCCACATATTTCTTGTGCTATTTTCATAGTGGTGTCTCTGAAATTCAACCATTCTGTATTTACCCCAAGATTGTTTCGTGGAAGCTGTTCATAATTTTCCTGTAATTTTTGCTGAAACGCTCGCCTATTTTCCTCACACTCTAGTTCTTCCATTTTATTATGTCGCTTTTATTACATTTCCTTTTTGTTTGATAACTTATCTTGATTTTTCTGTCAAGTATCACCATCCTATGATCTGTATCTAAACTCAAGTTTGGTATAACTCTCGCATCTGTAACTTGATGAAAGTATCTTTTTCTCGTCAAGATGTAATCAATCTGACTCTTGGTATCTGGATCATTCCATCTATACCATGTAAAATCTTGCGAAGCTCTATGTTGAAAAAAAAGGTGTAGGTAATAACAAAGTCATGTTGTGCACATATACCCAACAGTCTCTCGCCATTTTCATTTCTAATGCTGTTGTCTCCATAACTGCCAAGGTATCTTGTAAATGTTCTTCTGTCTCGTCCTATCTTACCGTTAAAATCACCCATCACGATCAGTTTCTCGTTATTATCTATCTTACAGATTTCATCATCCAGGTCCTCAAAGAATTGACATAAATCCTCCTCATTGCAACGTGTATAATTAACATCTTTTTTTTTCTTAGCTTTTATCTGCTTTAAACCTCAGGGGAAAGTTTTGGTTGTTCTTCCACTTCTAGACATTTTCTTGTGTCAGGGATGGATTATTTGTCTGCAGGCTGTTGGTTCCTCTCAGTCAGGTGCACTCAGACTCTCAGACTTAGAAGGAAACATCCCTAGTTAGTCGCATTTCACGACATGCTTGTTAGGGAATCAGCAGATCTATCCACTTTTGAGAGTATGCATCTTTCATTAACAGCAAAAACATATGGATTTGAGTCGTAGACTAATATTAAAGAAGAAAATAGAGCAGGGCTATTCAACTAAATGTGCTCAGGGGCCAAAATTTTGAAAATGGGTATCGCTACGTGCCAGAGTCTCACGCCTTAGCATAAGCAGCTCATTAATGTAGTACACCTGACAATGATCCGCGGGCCACCTGCTATGCCTTCGCGGGCAAGATTTGGCCTGCGGGCCGCCAGTTAAATAGCCCTGGTGGACGATTGGCTCTCCACAAGCTGCTAACCTCTCCTAGTTGGTATTATCTGGCAACATTAGATTTTCGCAGTGTGCGGTTGCAGAAGGAAACACTTGGGAGCATTGGTGACGGGAGCTCACGTGATTGCACGGAAAGTGACGGGAGGATGGATGTGAATTCGACAGGGCCCTTTACTTGGAGAAAAGATAAATGGTGGATATGCCATCTTGAGATGTAGGAGCTTTTGCGATGTCATGACAGATAAGTTAAAAAGCCTATATTGTTGTAACCGTACAGTACGTTTAAGTTGAAGACTTTGCAGGCGGGAAACCCTTAAGACCCTATTAAATTATATTTACGTTTTTTTTAAAGACGGTGTATTGAAATAAACAGAAATACAGAAGAACACACACACTTGTTTAGGGAAAGGGTGGAGGGGGAGAGGGGTTCTTCTCTTTTTTTACATTTTATCTAGGGGACTCCGCGATTTCGTATGAAAATACCTGGAAAATCCCGTATTCAGGTGCGTAATCAACACCGACTAACCCTAACCCTTACCCCCTAAAGTATTGGACTTTCTGATGAATTCCCTACGAAACTTCGGAGTCGCTGAGATAGGGTGAAAAAAAAAAAACGGGAGGGGAGCAAGGAAGCATAAGCTTCCAGGTTCATGCGCCAATGTAGAGAGATCCTTGTTGACTCCAGTGAAGGAAATGTGCGTGTATAGTTTCAGTCACTGATGTCGAGTCGATTGCAGCTCAATGATCTCCCCTCCATTACGGTAGACCAGATCGCAGATAACCAATTAAGTGCTATTTTCTCCTCTAGTGATTCTGGCTTCTTGCATGCTGGGTTTTACAGCAGGGTAGTATTGATTTCAATCTTATTGGTTTCAGGAAAGCTTCTTCTAATCGCAAGCGACTAAGTTAAATAACACCGACTTTATTCGTGCAGTCTGATTTTACTACTGTAAAGATTTAATTTACAAGTACTGATTGACACCTCTCAGGAAGGTATATTGTTGCAGTGAGTTGTTGGTCAGTTGCCGTGAACCGTGGATAAGTCACATTGGAATGTTGCTGACTAGCACTGAATTGTTGGTTAGTTGCAGTGAGCTGTTGGTAAATTGCACTGAACTGTTGTTAAGATGCAGTAAGCTTTGATTAGCTGCAGTGAGCTTTGGTCAGTTGCAGTGAGCTCTTTGTCAGATGCAGTGAGCGGTTGGTAAATTGTACTAAACTGTTTGTTCAGTTGCAGTGGGCTATTGTTCAGTTGTAGTGAGCTGTTTTTCAGTTGCTGTGCGCTATTGATCAAATGTAGTGAACTTTTGCTGAGTCACACTGAACTGTTCTTTAGTCATACTAAACTTTACCTGAGTCACAATAAACTGTTGATCGTTTGCTTACTGAACAGTTGCTCACTAACAGTGAACTGTTACTTGAGTTGTAGAAAGCTGTCCCCTGCACTGAACTGTTGGTCAGTTGCACTGAACTGTTGGTCAGGCATGTCACTTTGTATATCCAATTTAGATGGGCACTTTTCTGGTTTGACCTTTCTTAGCCTTTTATTGCCTCTCGTCTAGCTACAATGCAGCATGTTATTACAAAGCACGAGCCTCGAAGCTACATAAATCCCCATGAGAATTGTACTCCTGAAACAAACTAGGCAGTTCATCAAAGTCTATCAACTTGTATGCCCGGGGGTCTCATTATTTCATTCTCTTTCCTTTATCTTCTATTTCTCTTATGATCGTTAAGTGACAATGGATCTGTTCTGCAAATTCTCCCCCCCCCCCAAAAAAAAAGCTCCCATCTTCACATGA